ATTTTAAAAAAAAGTTACAGGGCAGACACAAGCGGTAACTGTTAACTAGTGCTTGAGATGCCCTGGGCTTGTGCCCAGCAGCCTGGGATGCGGTCCTAGCCCAGCAGGAGACAGCAGCCTCCTGCTCAGGCAGGCCACGGGAGGCGGCAGGTCACGGTTGGCGCTGTGGGCTTGTCACCCACGTGGCATCACCACTGTGCTCCCAGTTTTTGACTCTGGTCTGGCCCAGTTCTGACTGTTGAAGGCATCTGCAGAGTGAAAGAGCAGATGGGAGATTTCTGCTTTAAAAATACACCACCCCCAGAAGTCACTGAATAAGGAACTGACATTATATAGCATTTGATTGATTGATTGATTGATTGATTTAATTTTATTGGAAAGTCAGATATACAGAGAGGAAGAGAGACAGAGAGGTCCCATGGTTCACTCCCCAAGTGACCACAACAGCCATAGCTGTGCCAATCTGAAGCCAGGAGCCAGGAACCTACTCCAGGTCTTCTATGTGGTTGCAGGGTCCCAAGGCTTTGGGCCATCCTCGACTGCCTTCCCAGGCCACAAGCAGGGAGATGGATGGGATTAGAGCTGCCGGGATTAGAACCCCACGCATTCAAGGTGAAGATTTTTAGGCGCTTGGCCACCACGCCAGGCCCTATATGGCATTAAAAAAAAAAAAGGCGTACTTTTATTGGAAAGGCAGATTTACAGAGAGGAGAGACAGAAAGAAAGATCTTCCACCTGCTGGTTCACTCCCCAAGTGTCCACAACGGCCAAAGCTAAGCTAATCCGAAGCCAAGAGCCAGGAGCTTCTTCTAGGTCTCCCACGTGGGCGCAGGGTCTCCAGGACTTGGAGCCATCTTCCGCTGCTTTCCCAGGCCACAAGTGGGGAGCTGGATGGGAAGTACAACAGCCTGGACACAAACATATGCCCATATGGGATCGTGGTGCTTGCAAGATGAGGATTTTGCCACTGAGCCATCGGGCCAAGCCCTATATGACATTTTTAAAACTTAAGGTCTATCCTGAAACAAAGGAGAAAGGACACCAACAGATGCAGGCTCTTCTCCCTACACCCCATGAATGGTTTGTTCACCAAGCCTCAGGTGTGTGCTCACTGCGCTTTGCAAAACACGCTGGTGCCAACCATCCCTCCTCTCTCTCCCTCATGTGTCGGGGAACCAGGTTCACCACACTGAAGCCTTCCACTGCCGAGCTTCATAGCGTTCGCCACGGCATCTAACACCTCTGTGACGCAATTTCCTGATCTCAAATCAGAGTGATACCTCCACAGGTTTGTTGTAAGAGGGAAATGGGCCATTAGACACAGACTGTTTCTAACAGGGCAGGACAAATAGTTCAGTACTCAAAAGATCACAGCCACTGCTGTCCCAAGTATTACTTTAATGCCACTGCTCTCAGCTCTAGGGAGCGTCTACCTACTAAGAAGAATACACATATGCTTTGGCCACTCTGCTTGCCAGAGTTTCTTTAATCTTCTCACTGATACACAAACAGAGAAGACACATGGCTCCTTCCTCCTTCAGCCGAACATTCCCGTAGCCCATGGCTAAAAAACACATGGCATTTCCATAGGATCCCGTTGGGGATATATGTATCTATATATGTTAATATTTAATTTAGATTGATAATAGCATGTAGAAATTTCATCTTGGTGAGTTCCTTGCTAATTCTACTAGTACTGTATTTCCAAGCCACGTCTTCAAGAGTGAGGTCAGAACAGAACTTGGGCAAGAATGAGCAAGAATCAGGGGTCAACTGCTGGGGTCATACGTCAGAGACACAAAGCTTTTGAAGGACAGAGTTCTGTTCAATTTTTCCAAATACCTCTATACCTTCAGAACCAAAGTACAGTGCAAAGTGGAATGATTAAACAAACATCCACTCAGCAGTCTTGCTATTACACCTGCCTTAAATTGTTTCCAGGCCAAAACTCTTGCCAAGCATTTTCCAATACAGATCTTGGAAGTTTTAACATTTTAAATCAGCCCTATGCTGGAAAAAGTTTCCAACTGTGTTTGAAAGAGACCTCAAGCTGTTTCATCTTCTTTATACAGAAGAAAAATAATATTCATCATAATTTGTAATTACACATTTATTTGCCTGATTGTTGGGTGAACTATATAATTCGCCAAAGATACAGTTCACCAAAGAGACTCCAAAATATAAAGAATGGGGCTGTTTTTCTTCCTCTTGCATCCATGAAACGTGGCAGCCTGATGTGCACTTGACACATACGTACTAAGCTTTTAGTTTATGGGCCAGGTCTGGTCTGACCTGAGCAGCAGCGAACAGCCCCAACTCACCGGTGCTCAGTACCTCTCACGGCAAGAGAAACGCAGCATTCATTCATCGAGCACATCAGCAAACATCTGAGGCCCTTCCAGCAAGTGTCAAACACCATTGTAGATGTTTGACACCACCCTCATATTTACACAGCCTACAGCGGCAGAGTAGAGCAGGGGATAGAATAAAGGAAAAGGGCTCTGAGCTAAAGCCCTCACCTTAAACGAGCCCGGATCCCATTTAGGTGCTGTTTCTAATTCCAACAGCCCCGCTTCCCATCCAGCTCCCTGCTTGTGGCCTGGGAAGGCAGTCGAGGACGGCCCAAAGCCTTGGGACCCTGCACCTGCGTGGGAGAACCGGAAGAGCTCCTGGCTCCTGGCTTCAGATTGGCTCAGCTCCAGCCGTTGCAGCTGCTTGGGGAGTGAATCATCGCATAGAAGATCTTCCTCTCTGTCTCTTCTCTCTGTATATCTGCCTTTCCAATAAAAACAAATAAGTCTTTGAAAGAAATAAATAACAAATGCTATAGAAAAGAGCACCTGGACATGAGGGAGTTAGGGAATGCTGGGATGTACGACCTGTTGGAGGCTTGCTATCTCCCCAAACGAGAGATCATCTTAGCAAGGCTGGCATATGAACTGACAGAACAAGAAACACCAGGGGTTATCAACTGAGGGTGACAGAGTCCTCACAAAATATTTGAAAACACGAGGAGACGGGGCCTTGGGGTTTTCACACTGAGACGGGGCAGCACGATGGACAAGGGCGGAGAGAGGCACGAAGGTGATGACAATGCCTGGGAAACGGGAAACAACAGAGAACTGAAAGGTTTGTTCTGCTCACGGTGCCCACTAAAATTCTTGCCAGAAATCACAGCATTATTCTTTTTGCTCTCAATTGTCCTTTTCACATAACCAATTGTCAGTGCATAAAAAAGGCTACAAATAATGTGGTAGGCATGCAACAGAATCAGACTTTTTATAAATTTAATTTATCCCAATTGGACCATAAACTAACTTTCTTTTTTGCAGATGTACTTATTTTTATTGGAAAGGCAGATTTACAAAAAGAAGACTGGATTGGAATTGGAGCACCAGGATATAAACTGGCACCCATATGGGATCTTGGCACTTAAAAGGGGAGGATTGGCCAATTAGGCCATCATGTCCAGCCCTCAACCATATACCTTCCTCCTTTTTTTCTGTTCTCATTCTATGTGTCATATGGACTAGGTTCCAGTTCAAGAACTCAGAGAGTAGGGTCTGGTGCTATAGCCTCGTGACTAGAGGCCTCACCTTGCATGCGCTGGGATCCCATTTGGGCACCAGTTCCTGTCCCAGCTTCTCCACTTCCCACCCAGCTCCCTGCTTGTAGCCTGAGAAAGCAGTCGAGGACAGCCCAAAGCCTTGGGACCCTGCACCCATGTGGGAGACCCAGAAGAAGCCCCAAGCTCCTGGCTTTGGATCAGCTCAGCTCCAGGCTTTGCGACCACTTGGGGAGTGAATCATTGGATGGAAGATCTTCCTCTCTGTCTCTCCTCTCTGTAAATCTGACTTTCCAAGAAAAATAAATAATTCTTTTTAAAAATGCAGAGAATAGCTGTCCCACGATTGAGTCCTCCGCCTTATCCCGCATACAAACAGCGTGGATGGAAACTGACCCGCAAATTAGGAAAAATTACTCTCCCACTCTAATGTGGGAACAGGACCCGTTCCCCACTTTCTCTGACAGTAGCTCACATTTTAAAGTCAACTCAAAAAGAAGCTTCCTCCACAAGGCTTCTCCCGACTTCCCCAGCTGTTGGTTCTTAAGTGTCGTCCCATCAACATGGTCCCCCATGCACAAGCAGACCTCCCACGCACGTCGCCAAGTTTTTCTTTAGCTGCCTGTCTCCCAAACGAAATGACAAGCTTTTCCTGGGCAACAACCGGCCCGCACCCTCCTCTGTACCTCCAGCACCAGGCAAGGCGCGCTCAGCACCCAGCAAGCAGGCGCTCAGCCAATGGCTGGCTGCACAAAGTTTGCAGAAGGAGCGCGCGCTTTTGGCGCATCTAAGATCCTGGGCGACCCTGCCCGAGCTGCGTTTCGGCTGAGACACATCCCGTTGTGGACTCTGCGAACAGTGCCAATTGTCCGGGAACAGCACCTGTCGTGGCTTCTTCCCACTGCAGCATCCCTGAGGTCCCCGAATTCTCACTGGAGGGGACCCCGCTCTCACCTTCCCGTTCGTGGGAGGCTCCTGGATGTAGATGTTGCTCATCCTGCTCGGGCGACTCTGCTCCTTGCTGAGGGCGAGGCCACGAACGCTGTCCGCTGTGCGTGCCCCGCTTCCTTGAAGTTAGAAGCCCAGTCGTTCCACCTCACCCACAACCACACAGAACTTCCAAAGCTAGCCCCTCACGGACGCCGCCATGTTGCTCCAGGACGCGGACACCGCTACCTCAGAGAAGGGGGAGCTCTGGCTCTTCCTACACGGAACGAGAGCGCCATCCTAAGGCTGCACTAGCTAGCCTTAATGTAACTTGAAAGTTATTTTTTACCACTATTGAAAGAAATGATCTGCAAATGCTGGTAGTGTCCGCTTCGCTATAAACGTTTACAAGTCACACCCTCACCCCCGACGCTGGCAGCAATGGTTCAGGCCATGTGCGTCGGCTCGGCGGCTCGCTCGGAAACGGCACCCGCAGCTCCTTGGTTCCGGCGCCGACGGAGGCTCAGCCTTCCGGGCTGGCGGCAGGAAGAGAGCGCGGCTTCTCGGCCTGAGCGTTGTCCCCGCGGCGGGCGGGAAGCAGACCCTTCTCCAAAGCTCGGGGCTCCAGCGACCCCTGGACCGCAGCGGCATGGCAGTCCCAGGTGAAGCCTCGCAGGAGGGCGCTGACGTCCGAGCGGGGCACGGCGGGGTGGGGAGGCGCGCCCCAAGGGTGCCACAGGCGGAGGCCTGGACGTGTCCGCTTGGGTTCCCCGGGAAAAGTTTGCACCGCGTCTCGGGAGGTCAGGAGCCGCTTCTCTGAGGCCAGGCCGGGAGGCGCAGGAACGAGGCCCCAGCAGGCGGGCGGCCGAGAAGGCCTGACCCTAACCCACTTAGGTACGGCTTGAACCGGGCGGCCCCGGGAAGTGGCCGGGGTGAACCGGGCGCGTGGGGTTCTGCTCGCTGGTGGCTGACACGCGGACACCCAAGTGGCCTCAGACCCCCCTCCCCCGGGCTCTGACTTTGGCCGTGCCTCAGTTTCCCCCCACTGAAATGAAGCAGCGTGTTGGACCCGAGGTTCCCTCCAGGTCTGCGCCCTCCCCCTCCGCAGCCACCTGCTTCCCTGGAAGTTGTTTAGGACTTAGCCCTAGTTTGCACCGGATGTTGCAAAGCCCTCCTGACACGCAGGAGCCCCGACTTGTTCGGCCCTGCCCTTCACCCTCGTAAACTGACCGAGGTCTTCGTTGCGCGGCTGCCTTCTCTGAACCTGACTTGTCGCGTTACACTTTTCTACCAACTTGGAGATTGGAGTTTTGAGAGAGGACGGGGGCGATATTAATGTGCCGGCTGTGCATGCCGGGCGCTCGACTAAGCAGTATGGATCCATGCATGAGCTAAAGAGAGGTGCTTTCCACACAGCTTAGGAGAGAGAGAGAGAAAGAGACAGACAGACGGACGGACATGGAGAGCAAATGGGGACGCTGCTGAAACGCTGCAGAGGGAGCCAGAAGGACTTTACAGAGCAGGTGGTATTTAAGGTGGGGTCTGCAGGTTTGTAAGAGGAGTGGAGGCGAGACTGGGTGCCTAAACAAATGTTTGTGATGGAAATCAGAACACACACCCAAAAACTGACACACAGCTGGTGTCTGCCAATGGTTTACTATGTATCAGATATGTGTCAAACGCTGTCTTTGATGGAACAGTCCCGGCCACGCTGGCAGGTGGGGTTGATACTCCTGTGTTAACCATGAGAGACCCAAAGACCAGATTAGCAGCATGTGTAATGTAAGACAGCTAATGAGTGGCCCCTCTGGATCCCCTCCTGGGCTCTTTCATCTTACACTGCGCTGTCTGGCTCTCAGGCGGCCATGGGAGCCTGGATGCTACCCTACTACGCGCAGTAGGCAGCAGTTGGAGGGTGTTGAAGCCAATTCCCACAGTGGAATGGTCATCCCGGCTAGACAGTAAACAGGAGGAATGCTGCTTTGGTGTCAAAGGCACCGGTTAGAAATAACATAATGGGAAGTGATCATAATGCCCAGAAAAGGTGTAATCTCCGAGGGGAAAGGAAACAGGAAAGAGATGCACTTTTGGTGGTAGATTCATGGGAGTTGGTGGTTGGTTGAATGTGGACGGGTACAAGAAGGGAGGAGATGGAGCAGGGTTTCGCTGTCAGGCAGCTGGGTTAGAGCCTATGGCCTGGGAGAGCGTGCCTGCCCAGGTGGAGCGTGTAGGCTCAGAAGGAAGGGCTGTGGTCAGCCAGGGGGAATGCGTGCCAACATCGTAAGAGAACGACCCGTTAGCACGCATTCACCCCCCATGACATCTTGCTGCAGGTCAGGCTGGCCCTGCTGATGATGGCTTCGTGTGGCTGCTATCCAAAGTTGGCCTGTTGTCACTCACTTTTTCGTGGCTTGAACAGGCTTTTCGGCAGCCGTGTGGCGCAGGCATGCTAGGGGAGAGGCTGTTGTAGCCAGTGCCGCCCTAAAACCTGTCTGCTGATGAAAGTGCGCTGCCTAAGGAAGAGCAAAGACGTGTTGGTTTTAAAGCCCTTTGTGAAATTCCCTTAAACTTAGACCAGCGTTAAGATATGTTAACCTTCTTTCAATTGCAAAAAATGCATCAAAATACAATAACCTTCATTGGTACCACTGAATTAAATGACAAGACATGGATAAACTGTTTAAGCCCTGGGCAAATGGGCATAACAGCCAGACAGTGCTGTAAGAGTCCAGAGCAAGTGTCATTACAAATCACTAGAGAGAAAATGCTAAGATAATTTCTTGGGTGATTGATCCAGTGGATTAAGGGGAAACAGGTGCTGTTGGAATCTCTTAGGGTTATTGTGAAGGAGGGCAGCGACGGTGGGTGCAGCTCGCTGTGCATGATGGTACAGGGTGATGAAAGTGCTTTTTATAAAGCTATCACAGAAATCAGCCTTGTCTGGGTCAAGGTTAGGTCCTGAGCGTGCTGGGTAAGCTTTCACCACATTGGAAGGGATAGAGTGAAATCCTTACACTCTCGGGTATTTGAGAAATAACACGTTCGAGTAAGAATTACAAAGAAATTAGGAAAGAAAAACAACAAAAAAGAACGAAAATTACAAAGAACTTTTTTCTTCTGTGAACAACTGTGAAATTGTTAAAATTAGGTCAGACGTGTCTGGCAGTTATTTGCTGTCCCCCATAAACCTTTTGGCCAGACATAAGGGGCAGTTATATGTTCATGATATGATTGGAATTTTAGGTTGTTGGTGGTGGTTTTTTCTACCCCTTTCAATAAAGTCTGCTTAGGTAAGGTAAAGAATTTTGTCCTATGGCTAAGTTAACATTTTGATCATGATTTCAAAGAGATTAAGAATTCTGAGGCATATTGTGATATTGTCTTGGTGACAGAAGTGCTCTGAGTGGCAAGATCTGTGATTCCAGTTCTCTAGTCGCTTCACCTGCCTGGGCCTGGCTTCTTGTCCTGCAGTGCAGTGAGTTCACCTTCCTGGGCCTGGCTCCTTGTCCTGCCGTGCAGTGAGTTCACCTTCCAGAGCCTGGCTTCTTGTCCTGCAGTGCAGTGAGTTCACCTTCCAGAGCCTGGCTTCTTGTCCCCATAGTGCAGTGAGTTCACCTTCCTGGGCCTGGCTTCTTGTCCCCATAGTGCAGTGAGTTCACCTTCCAGGGCCTGGCTCCTTGTCCTGCAGTGCAGTGAGTTCACCTTCCTGGGCCTGGCTCCTTGTCCCCATAGTGCAGCAAGTTCACCTGCCTGGGCCTGTCTCCTTGTCCTGTATTGCAGTGAGTTCATCTTCCTGGGCCTGGCTCCTTGTCCCCATCGTGCAGTGAGTTCATCCTCTTGGGCCTGGCTCCTTGTCCTGTAGTGCAGTGAGTTCACTTTAGCTTCTGTGGTGCTGACATCCCGTATGGGCACCTGTTCATGGCCCGCCTGCTCTACTTCTCATCCAGCCCCTGTTTATGACCTGGGAAAGCAGTGGAGAATGGCCCACATCCTTGAACCCCTGCATCCACCTGGGAGATCCAGAGGAGGCTCCTGGCTTCCATCTGATCAGCTCAGCTCAGCAGGCTGTTTCAACCAATGGAAGATCTCCCTGTCTCTCCTCCTTGGTGGCCCTACTTTTCAAATAACAGTAAAATCAATCTTCATTTTAAAAAAAACAGTGCATGGTAGTTTTCATAACATGCATTTTTCACAAACTCTTTGTAGGCTATTTGTATGGAATTTTCTTGACACCAGAATATATTTATCTGTTAATTCTATTTTCCATGAGCTTTTTGAAATCATCTTTTTTTTTTTTTGAAGATTTATTTTTATTTTTATTGGAAAGGCGGATATACAGAGAGGAGAGACAGAGATAGGAAGATCTTCCATCCGATGATTCACTCCCCAAGTGAGCGCAACGGGCCGATGCTATGCTGATCCGAAGCCAGGAGCCTCTTCCGGGTCTCCCACACGAGTGCAGGGTTCCAAGGCTTTGGGCCATCCTCCACTGCCTTCCCGGGCCACAGGCAGGGAGCTGGATCGGAAGCCGGGCTGCCGGGATAGAACCGGCGCCCATATGGGTTCCCAAGGTGTGCAAGGGCTCCGGGCCCTTGAAATCATCTTGTACAAAACTAATTTAAACTCCTACAGGCTTATCTCCCCCATACCCTCCACAGCCTTTTTAATATTCTGCACTTTTAAGTGAAAATGGAATTCAAGGATAGTTTTAATGTCATTTCACTTATAAATAAGAATGAGCATCTCTGTTTCAGTTTTTGTTTTCTGTCAACTTTCTGTTTTAGTTCTTTGCTTGTTTTCTTTTTCTTGCATTTGTCTTTTTCCTAATAATTTGCCAGATTTTGTAAAGTAGGAAAAATTGTCCTTCTCTGGTCCTATGATTTGGAAATACTTGCCCCTAAGTTTTCATTTGTCTTTCTAAAATGGCCATTATTCAAGAGACAGAGTTCCCATATGCCCATAGCTGGGGTTGGGCAGGGGCGGGAGCCTGGAGCCTTGATTCAAGTCTCCCTGTGGAAGGCCGTGGTCCAGCTGTGTCAGCATCTGCATCTCCAGGAAGCTGCCAAAAATCAGATGCAGGCTCTGTTACAGCAAAATGCCTGCCTACCCCTCATGTGTCTTTTGAGACTGCTGCTGGTGGGTTTTGCCATTTGGGTGTTTTTAGGTAGTCTAATTTCTAAAAGTACTTAATGACTTACATCGCAGGCCATGATAGACAGGAAAGCTTCAAAGCGAGCAGCCTTGCCAAGCCTGATGAAGAAGTGGCACAAAGAACAGCATGGTCTGGGGAGATGGCTGACTTAGCTGAGTGAGGACTCACTATTGAGTTTCACATGGACACCGGGTCCCATTATATCAGCAGGATTCTTCTTCCAGATGGGATCTGGGTAATTTTAGCAGACAGGGAAAGATACCAGGGAGCCCACTGAATCTGAGCAGAACCAGGCTGGGAAGGCTCAGGACACGGAAAAGGCCAGAGGAACCACATCTGGGATTCTGAGCAGGCCGTGACCTGGGGAGAGCTGCTGGAAGGTGACCCGGGCTGCAGATTGAATGAAGCATCCCAGCTTCATGGTGTCACCTGCCTCAGATTCAGCGTCCCAAGCAGAAGCATCTAGTGGGCCAGATAGCCATGAAAATGAAGGCCGGGCGAGGCCGAAACCATTCAGCCGCGGACCAGCAAGGAAGTAGCGAGTACAAACTTAACTTCATTTAGAATTCTTGCTAAAGTTGCCTTTTATGTCAGAGTTTGAATTTTGTTACAGTTGTCCAATCAGAGTTTCATGTTTTATTCCTTCAAGAAATATCAAATGATTAGAGGATGAATTCTGTCAATGCCTTTTGTAATAAGCAAGCTCAACCCTAACGTACGCTGAGATGAGATTATTCTGGAACTGCCCATTGGAGCAGGGTTTTTAGTGTGGTGTTGGAACACTAAGGGTGTGTTTAGCACAGTTTTGTTGAGTGTTATTCAGCATCTGTGGTTTCTATGGAAACAGACTTAATGGCGACCTGGATTCTCTGAGCTTTTTTTTTTTCCCTGCATGCATGTAGTTAACTTTATAGTGAAAGAACCTGAGATTGTTTTATAAATCCAGTGTTAAACCACAGACAGTTGTACTACAGTAAAAACCCACCATACTTGTATAAAAATGAGATTGGGACACTGTGTACAAAACCTCTCTCATGACACATTTGAAAAGGAGAATAATATGTTAAGTTTTACACAGATGCTTGGGTTAAGAAGGAATAAATAGAACCATAAATATGGCAGCCTAGCTTCCACGTGTCCCGCCGTCCTGGGTGGAGGAGGCCCTAGGAGGGCTGCCATGCGACTGGCGCTGCGCTGGGGGCGGGAGGAGGCGGCTGGGAAGTCCCTGTGGAGCCTTTGCTCTGGGTGTAGATGGGTGCGCTGTGCACAGTGGGTCACGTGGAGATGCTGAGCATGGGAAATGGTGTTTTGAATGCTCACACAAGGCTCAGATCGGTGGCGTAGAGTTTTCTGCGTTTACTAGTGTTTTGTCAGATGAAAGTCATATGAAGGCCAAATTGTTTCCTAACATATGTATTGTATTAGTGTAGTGTTTGCCTTGGGTCGGGCGGTGCTCGAAGGTTTTTTCCTGCTATCAAAATAAGTCAGACAGGGAAAGGAACAGAAATGGCAGGTGACTGAGGGGGCATGGCAACGGGTGGCCTGGGCAGCCTGGTGCCCTCTGGAAGACCAAGTACAGCCTAGTGCCCTCTGGGAGGCCAGGTACAGCCTGGTTCCTTCTGGGAGGCTGGGTACAGCCTGGTGCCCTCTGGGAGGTCAGGGTACAGCCTGGTGCCCTCTGGGAGGCTGGGTACAGCCTGGTGCCCTCTGGGAGGCCAGGTACAGCCTGGTGCCCTCTGGGAGGTCGGGCTACAGCCTGGTGCCCTCTGGGAGGCCGGGTACAGCCTGGTGCCCTCTGGGAGGTCAGGGTACAGCCTGGTGCCCTCTGGGAGGTCAGGTACAGCCTGGTGCTCTCTGGGAGGCCGTGTGCAGCCTGGGATGCTGCATATTTAAGGATTTGAGCAGAACAGCTCAGTAACGTCCATGGTAAAGCAAAGTTTCGGGATGAAATAGTGTTTTAACTTCTTAGCATTAAATGTTATCCTACATTTTTTTTTCTTTTAAATGTAGCATTGGTTTTTAAAAGCAGCCTGGTATATATACTCTGTGTGTCTTAATGCATTATCAGTTTGTGGTGATGCCTGCGTTTGGAGGGTCTCCGCGTCAGATGCCCTTCATGGAGAAGGGGCGTAATTTGGTGCCGCACTTTTCGCTGATTGAAACCACTTCCAGAGGTTAAAATGAGTTACGTGTGAGCGTGTAGTGGAATATCACTCCGTCATTAACAGGAGTAAATTTGTGATATATACTGTGACATGATCGGACCTTGAAAACAAGGAAAATAAGAGGCAAAGGGACAAAGATTTCCCCATTTATGAGGGAAATTTATGGAGGCGCCAAGTAGAATAGAGCTTGGGGGCCTGGAGGGAGAGGGGCTGAGCTGGTGTTGAAGTTGGGTGCTGCTCGGGGTAATGAGGCGTGTGGCAGCCGGTGCCCGCTGGGCGCTGTACAGCTGCGAGCGGCTCATCGGCTGGGTTTCACACTGCAACTGTCGATGGCTAATCTTACTTAACGAAATGAAAGAAACCAGTTTTAATTTTTCATTTCTGGTATCTCTATGCAGCATTTTCTGTATATACTAATAATTATAGGAGTGCTGTGATTATTTGCACAATTCATCAAAACTAGACATGTGACTCATTTTCTTAACATTTCATATGAAAGTTGAATTTAGATGCTTCCTCTATCTACCAATTAAAATGAGGTTTCTGGAATTTTAGCATTTTCCTTACAAAAGAATCCCTTTTCCTCCAATGGAAACCAGAACAACATATTAACATTCGTGTTCATGCATATGTATTAGTTATGAGGGGCAGGCCACGGCACCACCAAGCTTCCTCATCAGTGTCATAGTGTTCCTGAGATGTTGATGCTCCTGGCTATAAAAAGCGCATTTCTGTTGAGCTAGGAAAAGAAATTTTGTTGTGAAATATTTGTCAGATAATTTGTATAAATTGGTCTTCCGCTGGTTTCTAACAATGACAGTAATCAGGTAGTATTACTAGGATGTGCTAGGATTTGGATTTTTTAAAGAGATTTACTTTAAAAATTTTTTTAATATTTTAAAAATTTTTCAAGAATTAAAAATTTGGTAAGATTTAAAGGGATCAGTTAAGGGTGTCTTCATATGTTAAGTTTTGTTTTCACTCACATGTTGTCTAACACGGTGTCTAACTGTATTTCAGGTTGCAACAAGGACAGTGTGAGAGCAGGCTGTAAGAAGTGCGGTTACCGTAAGTGCCCTACAAGCTGAGCCCTGTGGGTGGCCCTTCCTGGAATCTGTGCTTCCTCAGGCTCTGTGTCCCAGCGCGCTGGGCCAGGGAGCCTCGTGGGGCCTCGAGCCCGAGGCTTGCTGCCGGCCTGTCCCATTCTGTGCTGTGCGCCCGGGGTCAGGTGTCATGAAGTCCACGTGATTAAGAGAAGATTCCGGGCTTTAGTACAAGTGTATATTTTTAAAGTACATGTGAATTGATATTTATCCTTTTAGATCCTGTTAGGTGAAGAAGTCAAGGCATTAAAAAAAAAAAACTTTATTGAAGGATTTTAATTTACCTACCTCTTTCATAAGGATATAATTATTATAATTCTGACAATTTCTGTTCCTGGCCAAAAGCTTGATGTAAACAGTTATAAATCTTAATAATAACTAACATAATGAGAAGGTTAGGGTTTACATTTGTAAGTTTGTACTCTAGTTGAACATAACAGATTCCTAACGTGTGACTAAGAATGGTAACAGCAGCCTTTGGTTGCATGCCTAAGTTGTCTGGAGACCAGGCAAATGGTCCTGGGTTTTTGATAAAACCCATTTCTGAAAATTATTTAACAAAGTAAGAGTGAATTAACAACGAGAAAATTTGTTTTAAGGTTTATTTTCTTTTTATTTTAAGGAGAGACAGAGAAAGGTCCTCTGGTTTGCCTTGCACATGGGCCGATCCAAAGCCAGGAGCCAGAAGCTTCTTTCCTGGTCTCCCACACGGGTGTAGGGGCCCAAGGCTTCGGGCCGTCCTCTGCTTTCCCAGGCCACAGGCAGGGAGCTGGATGGGAAGTGCAGCAGCTAAGACTAGATGCAGTATCAGTTTGGGAAGCCGGTTCTCCAGATGGAGGACTACCCTGTTGAGCCACCATGCCAGCCCCAAAACAAAAGAGTTTCCTTGCTGGAGCACGTGGTAGAAAAGCACTCAGTGCGTGCATTTCACGACAAGGACCCAATAAAAGAATGCCAAGAGGACAGATGATGCACTGGCTAACACAGCTGTATATATAAGTATATAAAACATATGCTCATATACATAAAAACAGAAGACTACTTAACATTCGAGGAATGCATGCAGAGACATCATTTTTGTTTTTGAATTTTGATTTGTTTCTGTGTTGCCAACTTTCAATCTTTGCTAACGTAAATGTCTCATTCCTTTATGAAAACCTTAGGAACCTACTGTATATAGGAATACTATATTTACTTCAAAATTGCAATGGATTTTCAAGTTTCTTAACTAACAGCAGTTTTCTCCGTGGACATCTTTTAAACTAAGACCTCTTGGAAGACAGTTAATTATTTATTGATCTAGTCCTCCCATTGCTATTTTATTGTCAATAACAACAGAAGAATCTACAGTAATTAGAATTTTTAGGAGAGTTGCAAGCTTTTCAGCGTTTTTTTTTTTTTCTGAAGATTTCTCTGTTTTTATTGGAAAGGAAGATCTATGGAGAGGAGAAAGAGAGAGAAAGATCTTCCATCTGCTGATTCACTCTCCAAATGGCCGCAACAGCTGGAGCTGAGCCGATCCGAAGTCAGGAGCCAGAAGCCTCTCTGGGGCTCCCACACCTGTGCGGGGTCCCAAGGCTTTGGGCCATGCTATGCTGCTTGTCCCAGGGAACTGGATGGCCGCAGGGATGGGGGGAGCAGCTGGGGCACTAACCAGCGACTGTTTGGGATCCCAGCGCTTGCAGTGTGAGGATTTAGCCATTGAGCCATCACGCCAGGCCTGAGAGGTAGAATTTTTTTCGGTGGAGCCAAGTCAGCAAATAATGCAACAGTCTTCAATTTTATCTTCTGCTTTATCATTCAGATTGTTAGATTTAATTATTAGATTGTCAAGCAATTTCTAATTTGTCTCCTGTGAAAAATTTAGTAATATTTTTCTTCCATTTTAAATTTATATCTCTCTAGCTCTTAAATTAAGATCTCCACAGTTTACGCACCTTTCTGATAAAAAGCTAGCTTACCTTTTATTAATATTTGGAAGTCAAAATCTTCATATTGCTCATAAAAGATCAAAGGTCAACAAGACCACGTATAATAGTTATAATATAAGGCTGTAAAGTGTGGGTATTCTAAGCTGCCAAAGACATTTCCCTCTTGTTGTGAAGACAGAAGCTTAGACTGTGGAATTTAAAGAAATTTTTAAAGCTTGATGGAAAAAAATTATTGTAAGTTTCAATAATGGACAGATTGTTCAAAGTTTCGAGATCAGGACTAATCTATTACTAAATAAAGTGAGTCCCGCCCTCCCTTTTTCTGGTAGGATTTCCTTGGCAAAATTAGAAGGAAATATTAGATTGTTTCTGTGACCAGCATGTAGTGAGCCTTTCTTGAGGTTGACAACTTGTGACCATGTCAGTGTCCCAGGAACACAGCCTTTGGTCCCAAAATCAGTGCTGCATATAATTATAATAGTTATCAGAAAATACGGTTAAATATTCAGCCCCATTTTAAATATGAAGTAGGTTCAGTGTAGCAGACACAGTAGTTAGACATTCGATCCCAACAGCAAGAAATACAAATAGATACACAAGTGAGACTACTTCCAGGAGTGCGTGGGAATTTTTTCCTTAATATTTATTTTTATTAGAAAGTCAGATTTATGGAGGAAAGGAGAGACAGAAATATCTTCCACACGCTGGTTCACTCCCGAAGTGGCTGGAAAGGCCAGAGATGGGCTGATCTAATCCTAGGTCTCCCACACGGGTGCAGGGTCCCAAGGCTTAGGGCCGTCCTCGACTGCTTTCCCAGGCCACAAGCAGGGAGCTGCATGGGAAGTGGGGCCGCTGGGACTAGAACCGGCACCCATATGGGATCCCGGCACATTCAAGGAGAGGATTTGGCCACTAGGCTACAGCTCCAGGCCCTTGAAAATATTTTTGTACCTCTAACGTTTTAACTTCAAATGCCACTCTGTTGGTATTGTGTAGAATCCTCACCTTTTCTTTGCTCGTGGTTGTGGACAAAATAGTTCATAGTTTGTTTCTCCAAAGATGAGGGAGTAAAACTGAATGAGTGTGGGACACAGCCTACCCCATGTAGTCCTTACTTTAACATTTTACTTATTTTAAGCATTGCTTCAGTGTGAGCCACTTGGATGCAAATAAAGAAAAAATTGTCTCATTGGGGATTCTGATCAGAATGGCGAGCTGAGCTACCTTAGAAAGTCCCCCACCCCTTTCGCTCCAAACACGAGTCCTGGAGAAAAATAGTGATAATAACAAAAAAACACCCCAGCGCAGACGGATGAAAGGGAAATCGCTTGGTACTGCTTATACAGAGGAGCTCAGGCCAGAGCTGGTAAAACAAGTGCAGCCATGAGGCCCCAGGGCTGTGGCTTGTGGCCCTGGGAGACCTGGGGGGTGTGACCTGGAGCCCCCAGAGGCTGGAGGGAGCCCCAACCCTCTCAAAGAGACTGTGAAGCAGAGGCGAGAAAAACCCATCCACTCGCTCTGTACGCAAGGTAGCAAGCCTGCAGTGTGTCTGTCTCCTTCGAATAACAGAAGAAAAGAAAGAATCAGGATTTGGTAACATAAGCTTATACTTTGTAAATGTGTGTAAGTATGAGAATGAATTTACACTGAAAGCATTGAAGCACAAACTATTTTTCCGATGCTAAGAGATTAACATTCCAAGTTGGCCTAGGGGGCAGCCCTGATCCTACCAGGTAAGATTGTCCCATCCCAAGGCTGGTGCATTGTGGCTTTGTGGGCTAATCCTGCACCTATGGCAGTGGCATCTCTTATGGGCACTGGATCATGTCCTAACTGCCCCCCTGGCCCATCCTGTGCCCTGTCCTGGTTCTCATATGTGCCAGTGGGTATTATGCACTAGCCCAGCCTGACCCATCCCCAGACCTGAGCCACATGTATGCCGGCGTATATTGTAACCTGGTCTGGGCTGCTTCTTGCCTTGGTTCTTGAGCTCACCTGCAGGGACTGCATCCTGTTAGAGGAGTTCCCCCAAGCTCCTCTGTCAGGCACAGTGGCAGATCTTGAATACACTGGTAGATCCTTTGCCCAGCCTTGTCCCACCTACTGTCCCGGCAGAAACAGTGGCCTTGCCCAACTGGCCCATGCCCAGTCCAGCTCTTACTGTTTGGTGCTACAGCCCAGCTACACCTGGTCCACCCCAGCTCTTTGCGGTTCAGTGGGTACAGAGACCTAATCCAACAGGTGCTGAAGCTTAGCCCAATCTGGTACACCCCAGACCCAGTCTACACCCATGCCCAGGGATTCTGTAACCATGTTCAGCCCAGTTTGCCACTCTCATTCCAGCTCTTGTACTCACTAAAGGGAACCAAAACCCAACAAGGAACCCAGCCCAACTCCCTGAACAAACTTGCTCCCAGCCACAGATCTTGTGTGTGCCAGTGTTTGCTCTGACCCAGCCTGGCATAACCTATCTCCCATCTTAGCCTTTGCCATCAGATGCTACAGTCTGACCTTGCTTGGCCCGCCCCCAGCCCCAACTCTGGCTAGTGGATGCTGCACCCTAACCTTGCCCAGCGTGCCCCCAGCTCTGTCTTTCATGCAAACTGTTAGTTGTGATAGCCTAGCCTAGTTCAGCATGGCCTGCAACCCATCCTGGCTCTTCAACATGTCAGTATGCTATGGTTTGGCCTGGCTCTGCCCAGTCCACCTCCGCGTAGCCAAACAGCACTCCTGCTGACAACTGAAGCAGCCCTGCCTGGCCTGAACAACATCCAACCCTCACTCATGCTCACCAACGAGGGCTATAGCCCACCAGGGAATTTCCCCCAAGTTCCCTCACCAAGCCTACTTCTAGACTCAGATCTCACACGTGCTAGTGGGTGCTGGACCCTTACCCTGTAGTCTGCCCCTCATGTTGGCTTTTGTGTGTGCTGGTGGCTTTGGAGACCGGCCTGTTCCACACCCAGTTGTTGGGTGTGCCTGCGGGTGCTGCAACCTGGACCAGCCCAGCTGTTCCCAACCCCAGTACCTGTGTTTAGTTCCATGGTCATGCCTAGCTCAGCCCATCACCACTCCAACCCTGGAGCAAACTAGCTGGTATAGCATTCCCACTGAGGTGAGCCCGCAATCCTCCACAGAACAGAATCTGCTCCCAGACCCAGTTGTCTTGAGAACTGGTTAGTGTCATGGCCCAACCTAACATGGTCCACCCCCCTACCCCAACACTCATTGGCCCTACCAGGCATTCCCCCCAGCCGTGGTTTTCATGTGTGCTGTAGGCAGTGGTGTTATGCCAACAATCCCAATTCAGGTCCCCCACATGGGCAGGTGTATTGGTTTGGCCCAAAAGGTCCTTCGGTTCTCCTCTCTAAACCACATGGTCTTAGCCCTTCAGGTGTGGTTGCCAGGTTGGTGGAAGCCATTCCTCACCTGCCATGTTCTTTCTCCTATGCATCTCTAGGCCCCCTTCCCTGAGCAATCCAGAGCCCCCTGTACCCGGTCCTCTGACAGCATGCCATGCCAGCCTATGGTCTGTCTGCCTACTCAGGGCCCACACTCACACGTGGGTCCCCAGGCACTCACATATCTTAAAAATAAATAAATAAATAAAATAACAGGTGACTATGGTGGCATGCTGGTATAGTTAGCACAAATGTTGGTGTTAACCAGGCTCAGAATGCCCACCAGCTACTAGCTACTTTTCTCAAAGCAGTGTGACTGGGTAACAGTGCAAGCATTAAGGACATTTGGTTTTTAAACTATTTGCATGAGTTTGCAAGATACATGGGATAAAATGCAAGACCCTGGGTCGTGCACAGGCAAATTGGGATGTTAGTAAGAGATTGTGTGGTGTGAGTATAGAGCTTCCCTTCGCCCTCCAAAAAAGAGAACCTGTAGTACAAGCTGACCCAGAGTTGTGGTGAGTCATTAGTTCATCAACATTGTTTCATTTTGTGGGGATTTTTTAAAAACACAGTATCATAGTGTTTCCTACAAATTTTGTTCCCTTTTTTTGTGTCTCAAATTGTATTTACAAATGTGTGGAGTACACTTGGCTTGCATGACTGCTAGCACTGATCAGTGATGGATAAGAAAAATCTGGTTGTAGGCACCAGGGGCCGTAGACAGCTGCTGAGGGAACATCGTTTCTAATAGCAAAACGCAAGGTGCAGCCTGAGTTTCTATCAGTAGCAAGATAAATAAATAAGTATTTCTATACAGTAGAACATTGGGAATACTTGCTAGGGGCAGTAAGAAAATTGCGTGCACTTAGTTTAACTCCATTACATTTGATCCCCTGCTCTACAATGCAGGCCCCGCCTGGATAAATCATGAAGTGTAATTAATGGCAGAAATAAATTACAGGATGACAGGTAAATAAAATTGTGTCTCTTTTTTTAAAAAAAATGCAGACTATAGTATTATTTGGTGAAGGCAGACATCAGTTTCAATGCAGTTGTTTCTGAGGACAGAAAGAACATAATAGCATGGTAGCAGGTTTCAAAAGGTGGTGCAAGTTCAGGAGGCAAGGTGCGTGCTGTGTCTACAATTTGTCATTCTCTTGCTTGTTTGTTCATTCTGCTTAGCCGGCCACCTGACCTTCGAGTGCCGCAATTTCCTCCGAGTGGACCCCAAGAGGGACATAGTGTTGGATGTCAGCAGTACAAGCAGCGAGGACAGCGATGAGGAGAATGAAGAGCTGAACAAGCTGCAGGCCTTGCAAGAGAAGAGTAAGAATTCCTTCTTCATGTCATTTGTTCAAAGTGTTTCTAAATATTGTTGTGTTCTATTACCGTTAAGATACCCTTCATGTTCTCTGTAAGAGCTGCTGTACACGTAAGGAAATGGTTACTTCAATGTTGTATTTTGCCCCAAGATCTTTGGGCTACCTCTCATTCCACAGCCCAGGAGTTACTTTGTTAGTTACTTATTTCTCCTTAAACTACTACAAAACGTCACTTTTCAAAGTCTGAGTTTCTAGCCCTGTTCCAGAAAGTAATTCAAGTGTTCTGAAGTTGGATTTCTTTGTGGGAGAACAGAGCCAGCTCTTCACCCCTCGGCCAGTGTCAAGCCTCGAACGGTGGCTTCCAGCATGCAGGTCCATTGAGGCAGGGGTGAAGCTGACGGAGTTCCAGGATTGCCCACACACAGCCTCAGATTGTTCTTTGTACTGCAGAGCCCTCTGTGGCCTGGATTAACACAACAAGTTTCTGCAAAAGAAAGTCCATATGCTCAGATGGCTTTGTAGTGAATCCCAAAGTCAGGAAATGTCATCGCTCCAAAACGTTTTTCTTTTTCCATATCGTTTGGCCATTTGGGGTCTCTGTACTTCCAAATGAATTTTCAGATGTTTTTTTTCTATTCCTGTTTAAAAAAAAAAAAGTGTTATTGATAATGCATTCAATCTGTAGCTCATTCTGAGTGCTATGAACATTTTAACAAAATTAAGTCTCTGAATTCCTGAACATAGAATGTGTTTTTAATTATGTGATACAACAGCTTTCAGGTAATTTACAGTTTTAGTGTAAATGTCTTTCACCTCTTCGGTTACATTTATTTCTTACTATGTTTTATGCTACTATAAATTAGCTTGTTAATTTCTTAGCATAATTTATTTTTAGTGTAGAGACAACTGATTTTTGTATACTGATTTTTACGTTATATATTTGCTTGATTCATTAGTTCTGACAGTTCTAGTGTTTTTCATTCTATGTAGTCATGTTACCTGCAGAGAGACAGTTTTGTTTCTCACTTTCCAATTTAGATGTCTTTTCATTCTTTTTCTTGATTAGTAGCTTTGAGTAAAGCTTCTAATATAATATCAAGTGAAAGTGGAAAGAGGAGACGCATGTTCCTTCGTACAGAAAAAGCTTTCAACTTTTCATCTTTGATGTGTTAAGTATAAGCTTGGCATACTTTATGCGTTCTTTATTATATGAGTCTGTATTCCGTTCGTCACCAGTGTGAGATTTCTATCATGCAAAGCGATTGTCTTTTATCAGCTGGTTCTTCTGTATCTGCTAGGTGACCATCTGGCTTTTCTCTTTCCTTCTGGTAATGTATATCACATATGTTGAGCTATTATTGCCTCCCAGCATAAGTTCCTGTTGGTGTTCGTGTCTGATCCTGTTGAGGTACTGCTGAATGTGGCTTGCTATGATTTTCTTGTACGTTTGTCAGGATTGGTGCCTTAGTTTTGTTTCCTTGAGGTGGCTTCGGTGTGGGGTAATTGTGGCCTTGTAAAATTAGTTTGGGAGTACTTCCTCCAGCTTCATTTTTTTGGAAATGTTTTGGATACAGAATGGCATTAAGGCTTTTTTTTTTTTAAAAAAAAGTGTTTTGATAGAATTTATCAGTCAAGTCATCTGGTCCTGAACTTTTCTAAATTGGGACGTTTTTATTGATCCAGTCTCCTCACTTTGAATGTTTGTTTCCTATTTCCTGTTTCTTCATGACTCATCCCACGTTACGTGTCGGAGTTGACTGGTTTGTTGGCCTGTAAGTGCTCATTGCCTTCCCTCCTGATCGGTTGTGATGTCTGTCCGTTCATTTTCACTATTATCTCAGTTTCTCTCCTCTCTTAGTCTAACTAAAGGTATGATGATTTTATTTTTTTAATTTGATCAAGATGATCTGTTATTTGTCTAATCTGTATCTCATTTATTGTTTTCCCCTAACTTTTCTGCTGATGTGTGGCTGAATTTGTTCCGTTTAAATCTTTGAGACATGTCCCTGATGGGTAAGAGTTTCTCGATCAGTATAATTTTTCCTCTTGGTACTGTTTTTGCTGAATTCCATAAAAGATGTTTTTTTTTTTTTCACTCCACTTCACTAATGCTTTATGTGCTTAGATGCTCTGTTTTTGAATATGTTTTTGGTCTACATAATGGTTACAAGTGTTATTCTATTGGTCCCTTTGTCGTTATAGAATACCATTTTCTGGTGACAATTTTTAGCCTAGTTTATTTTTTTCTGGAATAGCTTTGGTCACCTATGTGCTCTCTTGGTTATCATTTAATAGAAAGCATTTTCCATCTCAGCTTCAGCCCATGGCCAGGGTGGGGTATCTACAAAGTACATTTATTTACTTGAAAGACAGTTCAGCAGAAAGAGGGAGAGACACATTCTGTCCCCTGACACACTTCCAGAACAGCCTCAGTGTCAGAAGTGCTATGGTCCGAAGCGGGAATCTGGGACTGTCCCAGCGTCCCGTTGAGTGGCAGAATCCCAAGCACTGGGACCTCTGCTGCTGCTTTCCCAAGTGCATTAGCATCTACACCTTAATGGAAGAGCAGAACCTGACCCTGCCACCACTTATCCGCTGCATCACAGTAGCAACCCCAGCCAGTGTATTCTTAAAGCTAAAATGAGCCTCTTTCACATGGTGTCTGGTTGAATCATATCTTTCATCCATCTACCAATCTAGTTGGGTTTTTTTGAAAGAGTTACAGATAGGGGCTGTTGGCAGTAAACAAAGTAATCCTCCACCTTACAGCAGCAGCAGCATTCGGTATGGATGCCGAGTCACATCCTGGCTGCTCCACTTGCCCTCCAGTTCCTTCCTTCTGGCCTGGGAGGGGAGGGGAGGTGGCTAAGTCCTTGGGCCCCTGCACCAATGTGGGAAACCCAGAGAAAACTCCTGGCTTTGGATTATCTGAGCTCCGGTCATCGTGGCCTTTTGTGAAGTGAACCCGCAGATGGAAGATCCTCTGTCTCCTTCACTCCAGAAATCAACCTTTCAAATAAAAAAGAAATAGATGTGTTTTTTTAAAAAAAAAAAAAAAAAAGCTACAGAGAGAGCTTCCATGTGCTGGTCACTCCCCAGGAGACCCCATTAAAGGGCTGGGTCACGTGAATCCAGGATCCAGAAGCTTCATTCAGATCTCCAGCATCGATCCATGGGCCCAAGCACTTGAACCATCTTCCACTGCTTCACAGACACAGCAGTGGGAGCTAGTGAGAAATGGAGCAGTCAGAACTCGAACTGGCAGACTGCACCCACATAGCATGTTATTGCATGAGGCAGCTTAACTAGTTTTGACACAACACTGGCCCCAATTTCTCTTTTTACTTCATTTCATTTAAAATAATTTTGGTAAGGATGGACTTACTGTTGCCGCTTGGTCTGTTATTCTTTTCTATATTTTATTAGTTCTTTTACTCTTCTTGTCTTCCTTTGTCTTTTTGTTGCTATTGTTAGTTATATACCTTCATTTATTTCTCTTTATCCTTTGCTTATCTATTATATTATTTTTCATTGTGATTACCATAGGACTTGTATAAATCATCTAATTAGAAATTAAAGGCTCCACTCACATATAAAAATTCAATAATTTTACTCCACACACACACACTTTTTGTTGTTCGTGTCACAGTTTACATACAGTAAATCCATTAATTATTATGATAACAAGTAATGTGTTTGCCTTTTAATTTGTATGCTAGAGTTGAAAAATTATGTATTCTCTTTTTGTGTGTGTTTTTACCTTAACTAGTGAGTTTTACACATTTATGTGTGTTTGTGTTGATTTATCACCTAATTGTTTCAATTTGAAGAACTCCCATTGGCAACACTTTTTTTTTAAAGATTTACTTGGTTTATTTGAAAGGCAGAGTTACGGAGACAAATGGTCTAAATGACAAATGTGGTCAGCTATTGAATGTGGTCAACTATTGAAGTAAATTAGAAACCATATGGGCAGGACTTGACCTGAATGGGAGCAGACATTTCTGTCTAATCATGCTATAATAACTTAGAACCTATACAGCCCAGTGTTGCAAACAGGAGCTAATGGAACAAAGACAGCGTGGCAAGGGACACAGGTGGTTGTTGACTCCCTGTGTGTAGGCTTCTATTTCTATGGATATATGAGCATGCTTACTACGTAGTGATTATACAGTGGTTTGGGAACTTGTCATAACTTCTCATAATTCAAAGTAAATGTCTAAAGATCTGTTTGTTACATAGAGAGATTTTCTTATTTTACAAAAGAACTAGGAAGTTAAGGAGTATTATTTTTCTCTTGATCTGTATTTTACACAGTGGTTTTGAATGGCAGTTTGCATATGGTTGGTATTCTCCTATTCCAACCTTAATATTTTTATAGCATTATTTTTTTCTTCTTATCTGTTTTCATAAGAATTTCCTGTTAGATTCGCACTTGGTTTTAGAAACTTGGCGTAGAAAACTACCTTGAGATAATTCCAACTCAGGTATTTGAATATTTCTGTAATTGTCTCTCTCCCATTTAGTAGTAACTGCTTGAGTCAGATTGAAATGAATGGCTTACAGTGATGGTCTCAAGCTTTGTTAACATAAGGTTTAAGTGAATCCACAGAATTGCTGGAGTAAAGCCTGTATTTAGCCTAAAATGTACTTTTTTTGTAAGATGGCTAAATGAGATATTTGCCAGGGGGTTGATTGGAATAATCAAGAAGAAACTGCCTGCTTGGGGATTTAAAAGCAACAAGTGTTGCTCGGAACCTGGAGCAGTTGTCCAGGTGCAGCCCCAGGAACAGGGCCTCCTGCTGATGCCGTAGTGGGTCTTACATCCTGTGCCCTGTTATCTCAGTGCTGGGTCGTGAACCGTGACTCCTCTGGATACTGCTCTTTGCTCATCATTACAAAAGCTAATTGCTAAAAATACATAAAGATGTTCCCACCCTCTACTTTGTACTCTGAGTATTTGTCATAGTAGTTTCTGAGATCTTCGAATTTGCTAAACATCCAGCTTTTATCTTATGTGTACCACAGTGTGCTATCTGGAAGTCTCAGTACATAGAAGTGGAACAGTTAGTAGAGTCTCCACTACTATTTGAAACACTGTCTTAAATGGTTCAAATATTCCTGGACTATTACTTGCAGTAAGCTGGCTCTTAAGGGAGATGCCCCAAAGAAAGATTCCTGAACTTTATGGCTATTTGGTTTTTATTAGAAGTTATTTTTCTGTGCAATCTAATAAATGGATTATTTACTCATCATCCCCAAATTGAAAAGGAAATTGTTCCCTAAGCTACTGTTATTTGATTTCTTCATTTCTCATAATTTTGTTTTTGACATGTTTCTAATAGTTGTGAAATTACTGTTGTTACATTAAAAAATACTGTTACTCAAAAGAAAGCTAAAGATCAAGTACATTCCAAAACAAAAGAAAACAAAATTACCAGAAACAGAAATTTTTTTACTTTTAAGTTTTTTCTTTCTTTCTTTTTTTTTTTTTAAGGCAAATTGACAGTGAAGGAGGGGCAGAGAGAGCAGGGGAGTCGTCCATCCTCTGGGTCACTCCCTAAATGGCCACAATGGCCGGAGTTGAGCCAATATGAAGTCAGACACCTTCCAGGTCTCCCACGTGGGTGCAAGGACATGAACCAGCATCCGTTGCCTTCCCAGGCCATGTAGTAGGGAGCCCTGGATGGAAAGTGGAGCACCAGGACACAAACCATCGCCCCTTTCGCCTGCTGTGCCATGAGGCCGGTCCCCTAAAGTCAGGGATTTCAGTGAGTCCTCAGTCACAGCAGCACAAGTAGACTGAGAGTCAGCAAGAGTGTAGAAGAGCTGGCGAACACTGTCAGCCTGTTTGCTCTAGTTAACATTTAGCATCCCACCCAACAACAGCAAAACACTTTTTGAAGTATGCACTGACCATCCACCAAGGAAACACATTGTCAGTGCCATGAGAATCAGTGCCAACAAACTGCAAAGGATTAAATTATGCAAAATGTGTTCCCTGGCCACAAGAAAATTAAAATAGTGGCTTATAGCAGAAAGCTATTGGGAAAACTACCAAGTATTTTTTGTCTAACATTCTGTTCAGTAATTCATTGGGTCGGAGAAGCAACATCAAAAGGAAGAATAGAATTTAGAACTGAACGAAAAAACATGCACGTTGCGGAGTGCTTCCACAGCAGAGCCCAGAGGTGGGCGTTGAGCTTGGTGTACGCACTCTGTAGGCACGCATTGCCCTTCAGTCAGTGTGTCCCCTCTTCTGTTTATTTTTTTTTTTCTTACCACAGAACTGTAAAATTCAAGAAGACTGAGACCATAGAGAATAAACACAGTACCTGGTGCATAAGTGTATAGTTGATATTATGTAAAGGAACAAACACACTGTCAGTCAAATAGCCTCAGATCCTGTGAGACAAGCTGGCCTCGGCATCCCCAGTCTTGCCAAGGCTTCATAACAGAGTTTTTAACTCTCTTGTTTGTATTTTTTCCTAGAAAAAATTTTAATTCTCTTGTTTGTGTTTTTTTCTTGATAACTTACAAAATTTCTGCGTTGAATTTTCATTGCTTTTATACTTAGACTATATCTATAAAACGTGTTTGTGAATATTTAAACTTTGAGATGTGAAAATAATTTTAACTTAAAAATTCAGAGGTAATGTGGAAAAGAAATTAAAGCTATAAGAGCTGATTTTTTTTCACATCTTTTATGTAAAGCAGAGGATCAATTCATACTGTCTGAATTTGAAACATACTTTTTTTAAAAATATAAAATATCCACATCTTCTTTTAAGAGCTATTTGGGAAATAATTTCCTTTGTAGAAAAACTGTTTTGTTAGTTTTGTTTTGATTTTATTTTCTTCTTTTAAATTCAGTTAAATATAATACTTGTAAAATCTATCTGTATGTGCAAATAAATTTTATAATCAAGAAATACTTGTCATGTAAAAGGTGTATATACAAAGATTTCCTTGGCTTCTTGTTTCTAAGAATGAAAATGCTTGTAGCTAAATCATGATTCATGGGACACTAATCTATTATGATATTGATCCACGTTTAATGGCAAGAGGATGTATCTTATATATTGCAAAGTATTATATCTGTAAATTTCAAAATGAAAAACCTTGAATTATGTGTATTATGCACATATGACTTGAAAAGCTGCATTTTAAGTTAAAATACACAGACCTCCAGCCAGAGTAACAAGTAAAACGAGAAAGATTCAAATGAATAAAATTAGACATGAAAAAGGAAACATTACAATCAATAGCACAGAAATACAAAAGATTGTGAGAAACTTTCACGAATGATTATGTGTTAGCTCATTTATAACGTAAAGAAATGAAGACATTTGTGGTATGTGTAAGCCCATGATCCAACAGTTTTACTACTGAATTCTGTAGATCCTTTTTCTTTTTAAGATTTAGTTATTTTTTATTGGAAAGGCGGAAATAGAGAGACTAAGATCATCTGTCCGTGATACACTCCCCAGGCGGCCGGAGCTGAGCCAGGAGCCCTCTGAAGCCAGGAGCCCTTCCGGGTCTCCCACGCGGGTGCAGGGTCTCCCACGCGGGTGCAGGGTCTCCCACGCGGGTGCAGGGTCCCAAGGATTTGGGCCGTCCTCCACTGCTTTCCCAGGCCACAAGCAGGGAGCTGGATGGGAAGCGGGGCTGCTGGGATTAGAGCCAGTGCCCATATGGGTTCCCGGCACGTGCAAGGCGAGGACTTTAACCATTACGCTATCGCGCTGGACCCTGAATTCTGTAGAACTGTTCAAGGAATTAATTGCAATTCTTTTCAGTCTATTCCAAAATACTTAACAGGATGAAACTGTGCTAAACTCTTTTTTTTTAAAAGATTTGTTTTCTTTTTATTGCAAAGTCAGATATATAGAGAGAGGAGGAGAGACAGAAAGAAGGATCTTCCATCTGTTGATTCACTCCCTAAGTGACCACAATGGCCAAAGCGGCGCTGTTCCAAAGCCAGCAAGCCAGGAGCTCTTCTAGGTCTCCCATGAAGGTGCAGGGTCCCAAGGTTTTGGACCGTCTTCCACTGCTTACCCAGGCCACAAGCAGGGAGCTGGATGGGAAGCGGGGCTGCTGGGGTTAGAACTGGCACTCAAATGGGATCCCAGTGCATGCAAGGTGAGGACTTTAGCCACTAGGTCACCACGCCAAGCCCAGTACTAAACTCTTTTTACAAGGCCAACATTGCTTTGATACCAAAGCCAGTGATATAATGCAAAAAGAAAACTGCAGACCAATATTTTTGATGAACATGAATGTAAAATCTCTCAACATAATATTGGCAAGGAAAAAGCAATGAAAAGATCTTACGTCGGAAAGATCATAAGTCACCATCAGGTAGAACTTTTATCCCAAAGAATAGTTCATCATGAAAAAAATCCCTGAACATAATAATTCACATCCGCCATATGATCTCTGCAGGCAAAGCATTAGATAGCATGTAACATCCCTTAAAGAGAAACCCCTTCCAGAGCCGGATAGAAAAGCTGTGTATGACAGACCAACAGCCAATCTTATACTGTATGGGGAAAAGTGGAAAGGATAGAGGCTTCAAGAAATTGTGCTGGCAGAGTTGAACACATATATGTATGTTTCAGTTATATATATTTAAAATAGATTTTTGATATATATTTAAATACATATAAATGAGGGAATCACTTCAGAACATTGATGTAGGCGTTTCCCTTTGGAATGGAATCACAGAAGCTCAGGCCAGTAGGATTATGTCAAACCTGGAAGAGTCTGCACAGCAAAAGAAGCCACTAACAGTGGGAAGAGATATCCGACAGAATGGGACTGTGACGTGGGGAGAGGTGCACTTACACAGCGCGGGTGGGCTTGTGGATGAAGCCCGCTGTGGGAAAAGCACACACATTTCTCTCTCAAAGGTAGAATGGAACTGCATCATGACCCAGAGGCGCCTGTACTGCCTGGTAACAACAGCTCCGTTCACAGCGGTCAGAGTACAGAATTACCCATTCTGTCATCATCAGATGAGTGGATAAAGAAAGTGTGATACATAAATACAGTGGAACAGTATTCACATATTTTTTAATGAATTAAATCCTGTCATTTGCTACCAAAAAAACGGACCTGAATGATATCCCCTTGAGTAAAACAAGCAGACACAGAAAAATAAATAGCACGTGTTCCTCCTTTGTGGAACTGAAACTAAAAGTCAATCAACAGAACACCTCTGTGTGAACACAGACTGTGGACAGTGAGAGGCCGAGAGAAGGGAAGGGATAAAAAATTTTGGAATAAGAAAATAAAGGAAACTGGGTGTAGTTCATTAATTGTACTATTATGAAATGCTCGCAGGGGAATGGGATGAGGAGTGTATGGGAACTCTATGTTGCTGTCTCATGATTTCGTAAATTTAAAGCTATTCTAAAATGTAATGGTTCTTGAAAAATGATGTACAATGTTAACACATAAACTCATTGTGATCTGATTTTTTTCCCTCCTGCCTCTCCCTGACAGGAATAAATGAAGATGAGGAAAAGAAAAGAGAAAAAAGCAAAGAAAAAATCAAAGTGAAAAAAAAAAGAAAAAGGTATTTTGAAGAACTGTGAATTCTATCTTGAAGAACATCAGAACATCAAATAAGCATTTACTTGGACATGTATCTAAACTCATGACATGTATTTTGACCAATGTATATGAAGTTGAAATGTAAATATTTGTATTCTCATATTTACTGCAACCAAGAAATTAATTAATAGAAGCAAGAATGTATTCCTTCAGATTTTTTAGATCCCTCAAGAACTACTTTTTAACAATTAACTTGTTAGAGCCAGTATGCGGACTCAACTGGCAAATCATCTGCCTGGAAGCGCCAGTACACATAAGGGCACTGGTTCATGTCCCGGCTGCTCCACTTCTGCTCCAGCTGCCTGCTTGCAGTCTAGGAAAAGCAGCAGAGGATAGTCCAAAGTGTTGGGACCCTGAAGAAGCTCCTGTCTCCTGGCTTCAGATTGGCTCAGTTATGCCGCCTTTTGGGGAGTGAACCAGCAGATGCAAAATCTTTCTCCTTTTCTCTATAAAATCTGACTTTCCAATAAAAATAAATAAATTTTAAAAATAGCTTCTTAAAAATTGATCAAAAATATTAACAAGCAACCTTTTCCATGGTTAACGCCAGTACAATGCGTTTCATGCTAGAATAAATAAGCATATACCAACCTTTCTGTGAGATCTGATTATTGGAAAGACAGTAACAGAGAGAAGGAGAGACAGAGAGATCTTCTGTCCACTGGTTCACTCCCCAAATGGCCACAAGGGCGGGAGCTGAGCTGATCTGACCTAAAGCCAGGAGCTTCTTCCAGGTCTCTCATGTGGGTACGGCGACCCAAGCCCTTGCACCATCGTCCACTGCCTTCTCCAGCGTGTTCACAGGGAGCTGGATTGGAAGCAGAGCAGCTGGGACAGGAACCACTTACCCATATAGGATGCCTACACCACGGGAAGCAGCTTTATGCACCAAAGCACAGTGCCAACCCCTATTCAAGCATTTTTAAAGGCAGTTGGCCATGGTTTTGTCTAGTTTAAATTCAGTTCTCACAGAGTTCTGTAGATTAGGTATGGTTTTTATTCGTTTAACGTTACATGTTAACACCTGAGATACTGTATAAGTTGAAAGTTTTCAAGTATTGAAACTGAAGTATTGAAGCTCATAAGAACTGCAGGTCAGAGGGTTTTGGTTTTTTGTTTGCTTGTTTGTTTGTTTTATTTGAAATACTAGAGGGAGAGAAAAGGAAAGAGGCCTTCCATCTTCTGATTCACTCCCCAAATGATTGCAACAGCCAGAAGCAGACTAGAGCAGAGGAGTCAGGATCCTGGAGTTTCTTCCAGGTCTCACGTGGGTTCAAGCACTTGGGCCGTCATCCACTGTTTCCCCAGGCACATATATCAGGGAACTGGATGGAAAGTAGAGCAGCCAGAATTGAAACTGGCACCTGTTTGGGCTGGAGATGGCACCTGTTTGGGCTGGAGATGTCAAAGGCAGCAACTTTACCTACTAAAAGTCACAACACCTTCCCAGAGTTCAGAATTTCTGAGTGGATTACTGAATCATTTGCAGTACCACAGCAAGGTGGATTGCTTGTAGGAACCACAGGATTACCATTTGTCTTCCAAATTCTCATCAACTTTTATCTGGGTAGCTCTACTTTGAACGTCACAGAAACCATACAGGTCCTGAAACTAACTTTTCTCTGCACACATGCCAGAGATGGCACCAGCCAAAAGCATCGTCGGTGCCAGTACCTTAAATTGTGTCTTTGAAGTTAGAAACCAGGAGCAAAAAGCGCAAAGATGCTCTCATCAGAATCCAGGACCTTTAAAACAGAAAAGCAGACATGATTTGAGGATTACAATCCTAAAAAAGGAGCAAGAGGATATTGAAAGTAAGCTCAGCTGATGATCAGAAGTCTTACTGTGTAGACTGCCCAGGAGGAGAAAGAGACAGGGGCAGTGTGGAGTCCTTGTGGGAGGAGAGCAGTCGGGGGATGCACGGTCACGAGGCAGCACCGAGACAGCTGTGAGATTTTCGAGGCACATGCTTTTACTGTGTGTCTGCCTCCTTTGTGCCTGTCCTGCATTTTCTTAGTTACTTTATTTATTTATTTATTTATTTATTTATTTATTTATTTATTTATTTTTATTGCAAAGGCAGATATATAGAGAGAGAAGAGACCGAAAGATCTCCATCTGATAGTTCACTAACAAGTGGCCACAATGGCTGAGCTGAGCCAATCTGAAGCCAGGAGCCAGGAGTTTCTTCCAGGTCTCCCACATGGGTGCAGGGACCCAAGGCTTTGGGCCATCCTCTACTGCTTTCCTAGGCCACAAGCAGGGAGCTGATGGGAAGAGGAGCAGTTGGGATTAGAACTGGCACCCATATGGGATCTCGGTGCATGCAAGACGAGAACATTAGCCATAACTATGTGTGTGTCGTACAGTGCTCAGATAACCCTGTGTTGATTGATAATAAGCCCAATGTGCAAGGGTGGTGGTGCCGGGAGTCCAGAGAGGCCCAGGAAGAAGCAGCCGCATGCTACCTTTCATTAAAAAGGTGAAAGTTACCAACTTAAGAAAGGGGGAAAGGAATAAAAATGATGTGCATGTTATGGTTGCTAAGTTATTCAGTAAGAATTAAGCATTTGTGAAATTAAGAACAAGTGAAAAGACATTCATGTAAGTTAATCCAAACAAATTAGAGCACGTTCATGCTTTACAGTATGTTGTTATATTTTATTAGTTAGTATTCATTCATACTGGGCCTAGTTTATAAATTAAACTTCATCATAGGTTTATGTATATATGGGGAAGTATATATCTATAAATACATATAAATAACATGTCAGGGAAAACATTGAATATGTTATAAATATAGGTATATTTATCATTCATATATATATGTAACAAATATAGTGAATACACACACACACAGGAGTAGATTTCGGGCACCCAGTGGGTATCTTGGAATATGTTGCCTGTGGATAGGGGAGCTACTATAAGTTTGTCAACTTTTGCAACCAAGCCACAAAATTGGAAATTCAGTATTTTGAGAACACAGAAATAAGAGGCACATTTTGGTTGCCTTTATACCTCTACCTTAACTCGAATAAGAATCTCAGCCCACTACAGTCGCATCTCAGTGTACCTGTCAGTCCTAAGCGCTGTCACCAGGCCATGTGTGTCTTACTGCTTCTAGGTCTCACTCCTCCAGTTCTGCTGAAGAGGACACGTCAAAACCGAAGAAACAAAAATACAAGAAAAAAGAAAAGAAGAATAAATCAAAAAAAGGAAAACATCACAAAAAGGGGAAAAAGAAGAGAAAAAAGGAGAAGCGCTCTCCCAGTCCGAAATAGTTACGAATTCTCCAAAAAGTGACTTGAGACTTTGGCTTGTTGTCATAGGCCAGAATTTTGTTTTCCAAAGTCACTTGTTCTTCCTGGGAATTTACTCTATGGCTACACTTTGTAATAAATCATGGCCTTCCCCATTTAAATATATATATATTTTTTGGTATGTGAGACCATTAGAGCCCTCTGACTACATGTTTTTAATGTACTGTGGATATAAAGTGTGAAATCAGTCCCATTACTTGCTCGCAGTACGCCATGTGTAGATACTGATACATGCGTCCCTGCTGTATTTGTGTCTCCCTGGGCTTGAGTAGCATTAAACGCTGCTTAAGTCGATGGAATTGGCTTCGTTAGGTTCAGTACAGGTAATCCACCTAGCTAGCTAGGAGCTAATGCTCTGCTCTTGACACAGAAAAATTTTAATAGCTTTCTATAATGTACGAAGAGTGAGATTCTTCACTGCTGTTTTTAACACTGTTTTATACAATAGGAGGTAAAGCTTTACAGGTTTTTAACCAGGACTTTTTCTGTGAACAATATTGGCAAGAAAATGATCATGGAAACGTTTACAGCGGAATTCCATTGTTTTATAAAACACAATTTCTAGTCTGTGCCTCCTTTTTTTCCTAGCAATTCAGATCTCCGTAACTTGTTAAACTCATCAGGCCCTGGCCACTAGTCCATCTCCCAGAGCTGTGGTGTGCCGGTCAGGATTCCCTGCCGACACTCCTGGCTAACTTTTCCAGTGTGCCATGTTGGCATGTCGTGCAGCGAGACCTCAGACACGTTTTTTGTTTAGAAGGACATGTGCGTCCTTGGCACAGCTGATCCTCATCGTGTGTAGTGTTGGGCCTGCATGAGTCTTGTTTCTGTGAGTAATGTCGAAAGCGTTTATAAAAGTGAGCATGTGTTCATTTTGTCTGAAATAATTTGCGGCTTCAAAGCAGATTTCACACTGAGAATGTTTCTTTCCCTTTCACATCAGCGACATAGCGTCACGATAGTGACAAGGATTAAGAACTGTGAATTTTATCCTGTACTTTTTTAAAATTCGTGAGCCAGGGAATGGGATCCTGAAAGCCTTTATGTACCAATGGAAGTTTAGATGAGTAAGCATTTTGAAACACCTAAGGCAGCTGTAGATGTTTCTTTTATTTCTAACTTATTGTTTGGGTAGCCCCTGTGGCCCATGAGTTAAATGCTTCCTGTGCTGTAGCCTTGCTGTCTATCCACCGAGTATTCCGGCGTATGACCGGAGACTGCAGGTACCTCGTGAGTGCTCGTGCACACTTTAGGATCGTGAACCTGCACACGCGGCTGCAGGGGAAGTTCTGATCAGGTAAGTCCAGTCAGCTCGCAGGCCGGCCGGGTGTGCTGAGTCTTCCTTCGTTGGGCATACCCTTGGTTAAACGTGGAGAGCCCCAGAACTTCTCACATGCTTCCGTGTGCGAAAGCCGCACCCACAGCCCTCTCCTGGCATTGCAGCCGTGGAGGGTCTCACGCTCCCTACTCACCTGTAACCTCCTTTAGTCTTTTGACCAGCTCAAAAAGAATTGTGTTCCAATAGTTGTCAACTGTTAGGAAAGAAACACAGAGCCACTGGATTTTTCTTTTGTCTTGTCTTCGCTACTAATTTTAGGATACTGTAGTTAGATTGAATACGTTTTTTTAAAAAATGACTATAAGATGCAACATACAGAAGGATTGCCTCACTTCCCTGAGTCTACAAAATGGTTAAAAATGATAGTAATGGGCTCGGCGTGGTAGCCTAGCAGCTAAGTCCTTGCCTTACACCCACTGAGATCCCATATGGGAGCCGGTTCATATTACAGCAGCCCTGCTTCCCATCCAGCTTCCTGCTTGTGGCCTAGTAAGGCAGGCAGAGATGGCCCAAGGCCTCGGGATCCTGCACCCACTTTGGAGACCAGGAAGACGCTCCTGGCTCCTGGCTTCAGATTGGTGCAGCTCCAGCCATTGCGGCCTCTTAGGGAGTGAATCAGTGAATGGAAGACCTTCCTCTGTCTCTCCTCTCTGTATATCTAACTTTACAATTAAAATAAATAAATCTCAAAAAAAATGATAGTAATTGCAATGAAAGTCCAATTATTTTGTAAATTTTATTGCTGTTAACTATAATTATTTTAAGTTGATTCATTTGTTTTAAGAATGGCAAAAAAAAAAAAAAATAAGGACCCACAGATTCAAAACTTCATTTACTAATATTTAAATGGCAAGTGTCAAAGGTCAGTATGTTTTTCCCCAGATATAATTTTGGGATTTTGTTTTTTGAAAGAGATCAAAAGAGTTGCCATCTGCTCCAGCTCTCCGCAGGTGCCCCCAGCAGCCGGGTTGGACCAGAAGCCAGCAGGGCAGCCTGAGCCTCCCATGGTGAGGGGCACCTGCTGCCACCAAGCATCTGACTCAGCAGGACACGGAGACGGGGAGCCAGAGCCTCGGAGTTATTCGGAAGTAAATTGCCTTTACTGTTAACGCAACTGATATTATCTGTATATGCCGCATCCTTACTAATCGTCTTAGTATCTTATTGGAATTGGATGCAAATTTTGCTGGCATGTTTTAGGACAAAATTCATAAGATTTCATCCCATGCAGCATTTGGGAGGAAAACAATGTATTCATATAGGCATCTGCAAGTCCTGTCCATTCCAACCTCCGTGACCTTTAACAAAGTCATTTAGCTGCCCTGGCCTTTTGTCTTTCCTCTGTAAAATATTGTACAGATTATCTCTATGCTCGGGTCCAAATATAATCATGTCTCGGAGATCACATCCATATCCGTGTATCTGCTTATTGGTGTCTTAGTGAGATTGTACTAATAAACTAATTTTAGAAGTTATAGATAAGCAGCTAACAATTTATAGTAATATGGAATCTGTTCAACTGCTTGAAACAGATGATAGGCTGTTTTCTTGCCCCCTAATGTATTTCATTTGTGCCAGATGCAGAAAGAATTTGTATTTCAGTGTCATCAGATCTGAACACTTGGAGCTGACAGACTTACTCCCGTCCGTTTTCCTGGTTCCTTGTTTCCATATTACCTATTGGCTAAAGTCTCAGAGAGATCCCTGGTTCTGCATAAATACATCTCCATTTCCATGCTTGGTTATCTAAGGCCAAAACAGCAGAAAGCAAGAGTAAAACAATTGTGCAGCTGCTTTTGCTCCTTGCTGAAACGAGGCAGCTGTCGCCCAGCTCCAGTACTAAACCAGACTGAAGAGTTGGATAAAAATGTCACGGGAGTCCTAGCCTCACTAAACCAGAAACCAGGGTACTGAGCTCAATGAGACACATTTGTTTCCCTGAAAGAGATCACAATTTCGTTGGTAGAAGAAGTATTGGGACAAGTTGTTTGTTTTTTGGGTTTTTTTTTTTTTAAGAGTTGCTTATTTTCTCTGAGAGGCAGGTTTGAGAAGGGGAGATTCATCCTCCATCTGCTGGCTCACTCCCCACGTGGCTGCAATGGCCAGAGCTGAGCTCATCCCAAGCCGGGAGTTTCTTACTGGACTGCTACATGAGTGCAGGGGCCCAGCAAGTTAAGCCATCCTCTGCTCCTTTCCCAGGCCATAAGCAGGGAGCTGTGTCAGAAGTGGAGCAGCCAGGACACACACACCAGCTCCCAGATGGAATGACACTGCTGCAGCTGGGGGCTTCACTTGCTATGCCACCACACCAGCCCCAGGACAAATGTTTAGATAAGCCCAATACTGACATGCACATGAGTTTGTGGAAACCTAGCCTGGTCTGGAGGGATTGAAAGTGATCGCTTGGGGAGTAATGACTGAGTTTTGATTGAAGGTGAGGGTAGAGGTGCTAGCAGTTCCTGGCAGAGTACTAGGAGCAGGGCGCAGCAGAGACTGTGCTGTGTGCTGTGTGAGGCATAACGCAGTCCTGCGGGTGCATCACATCAGGAAGGAGGTGCTCAGAACGGAGGATGCCACTGTAGGTCCTCCAGAGCAAGGGAAACAAGTCTTGCCTTCCATGTTTGGGAACTTGTGTTTTAATCTGTACTTAGTAACATGCCATTAACAAGCTTTAAGGGGAGAAATTACTTTTATCAAGATTTTATTTCATCCACTTATCTACAATTTAAAAACTAAAAAGCACAGAAATGATTCAACTCCTAATTGCTCTTCCTCTGGGTCCACTTTTCCTATGATCTGTTATCAAATATTGAAAAGGGACTGAAGAAGTCTGAAGCCTCATCAAGGTACTGTATCTCCTGCATATAAAACATCTGGCCAATGTGTTGCTGTTGACTTACGTCAGATTATTGTTTCATGGCTTCAAACAAACTTGATCACTGTGTTAGTATAAGGCCACACTGTGTCATAATTCAATAGCACTTGTTGCTTTTAGTGTGTGTCCTGATCTGTCCCTTACAGAGGGACCTAGCAGTCCCCTGGCAAAGCCCTGTGGGTTTTCCTCAGGTCACCTAAGGATGGACTGTCACGGCAGCGGCACTTCAAGGATGCCAGCTGATCTTGGTTCTGGTCTTTGAAGTTTCTGGAAAGTTGGCACCCAAGGACAGTCTTCTTAGGTCAGTGTGACAACACCACAGTTTCGAAGCCTGGCATCTTGTCATCTCCCTTGCCTCCTCCCAACTCCTCTAGAAGTAACTGTGGTGGCAGAAGATTCGGGTACATATCCTGGCATGCAAACCATGACACATCCAGCCACGGCCAGCTCTATTATCTATGTCTCTCCCACATGCTGGGGGGCGGAGGGTAGTTTGCAGTAATGAGTATTTTGCTGGCCCTGGGTTTTTAATTCATTTGGATTAGTACACAGAGAACAGACTTCATGTGCTTCGTATACAATTGTAAGAATCTCTCCCTCTTTTAATGTTTGTGATAATATTTCATTTATAACCATAGGCTTAATGCTTCACTAAATGATGAGTTAAGTAAGTATAGTAATGTAAGCAAGCCCTGTCAACAGTAAATAAGTTGAGAGATGTCAGTTTCACTTGTATACATTAGAAGTTTTTGGTCCTGAGTGTTAAGTACCTTTCTGTTGTGTCAGATGTTGCAAAGGCTATTGCCTTTCAGCCACAAAAGTAGACTCAGTGCCTCCATTTCTACAAACCACATTTTGACCTCAGGCAATAGAGTAGTAGAATTATGAATTCCTTTGTATGAAGATAGTAACTTTCCTGTGATCATTTTTTTAAAAACCCAGACTGTATAAAAGATCAAATACCTGCCTAGCCCGTTATGACCACAGAAAATGTCATCTCTAACAGAAATTTCTCAGCTTTAACACTCCACAAACACTAAACAATCTTAATATTTAAACCTTGGCAAACAGTACTCCTTTGAGATGTGAAATTCCACGTGGACGATAGGACATTGCAATCATGATCAGGTACGAACCATGATTATCCGAATCTAAGGAAAAAGCTGAGTTTTCATTTGCCTTAGCCACATTTGGAGTCCCAGTGGACACATGCGGCAGGTGGCTACTGTTCCAGATAAGATGCAGATAAGGAGCATCTCCATCAGGAGGAGTCTTGCGAATGCTGCCCTGGAAGGTCCTTGCTGTTCTCTGGAGGAACGTACTGCCTCAGAAAGTTACCTTCCAGGAGCTCTGCCTGCCCAACAAGAAAGCCCTCTGCGTTAGACCAGGGAAGCTGTGTTCAGCACCTGTGGTTAGTCCGGATTCCTGACCACAGGAACTATACAGAACAGTGGATATGTCCAGCAGAGCTGGCTCACAATTACTCCTTGTTTGCTGATGAATTCTATTGAAAACCCTGGCCTGTGTTCTTACAATGGAAATCACATGTAAGAATAAAAATCTTGGAACAATTTTCGTTTGCAAAAACCTTTTATTTCAAGATGACTAACTAGTATTGATGTGAGAGCAGTAAATGGGACCAAAAAAATTATTTTGCCTTCTAACTTAACAGAAATTCTTTAGGAAACTTATCAGTGAAGAAATTTTGCTGTGATTATCATTTGAAATGATACAAAATATTTATTATGGGGACTATGTGTTTTTTTTGTTGTTATTGAATGCCAGCTTTTATAAGTACAGTGTACTGTGTGTGTGCTCATGGATCATAAGACAATTCAGCTATCCAAAACCATCTCTTATTAAAAAATAATTGCCTGCCAGTACAAAAATATTGCAAAATGCTAGTAGTGTGAGATAAACTCAAATAGGTTTACTTATGTTACTGGTCTGCAATTTCTCCTGAAGAGTTGGCATAATTTGAGGTAATACAAAAACATTCTAATTAGCAGGTGAGAGTAGACTCACTTCCTGAATAAATACTGAAAAACGCAGTTGGGTCTCACTTTGGGGAGTGAGGAATACTTGAAAAGCAATGTGCCGACTATATTTGAAATGTAATTCTTATTGCTGCATCTCCTCCATGAGCCTCAGCTTTTTGAACACAGGGTTTTTTCTGATTAAGAAACAATGTTGATTTGTGCTGTATCCATGGCTTTTTCTTGAACTACATCATCAGCTTCGTAGGACGTTTCATTGGTTGAGTTGGATGCTACATTTGAGTTGACGGCTTTGATCTCTCTGCTTGGGTTGCCTGCAAATGCACAAAGCAGAAATGAGCTGATTATTCGAGATGATGATAAAATTGGAGTTACGAAAATCTGTGCTTCAGCGGTTTTGCAGCCATAGTGAAGATACATCCTAAGCATTTTGTGTGGACGACTGAGACCTGAATCATTTCAAAGCTGTTTTTCTTAAGCATATCCTGCTGAAGGTTAAATAAAGAAGATAGTCGAGGTGAAATTTCGTTGCCATGTTTATCTTTCTTTGTCCATTTTTTCGGGAGAGAACTATACATTAGATAAAGAGGTGACAGTTTCTGGATCATTTCATGAAAATGTGATTATTCCCATTATTTGCATATTAGTGAATAAGCCACATATAAGCCAATCATAACAATATGCAATTCTCTTAAGGCTTTGCTGTCATACCCATTTAAAACACACGCGCATCTGTACCACAGGGCCATTCAATCACTGCGTTGAGATGCCCGTCCAACATGAGCAAAATACAGGAAGATGGATCTTCGCTTAGCAGAGGCAATGAAGTGAATTGTTATTCAATTGTATTAGAAAAGTTTAATAATCTGGGAAAGGATGTCTCGTTTCACCAGCCTAAGATTTCAGCTGCAGGTAAGCATCAGTGTAAACACATAGAATGCAGCGGGAGAAACCACTGGTGTTGGGTCGCAAAGCCCCTGGATTCATCTCATGATGCCAGCAGCCTTTCACCCTGTTCTTTCCTTGGCTTCTGGGATGCCACGCTTCTACTTCCACTCCTCGCTCACCACTGCTGCTTCTCCAACTCATTGGTTGCTTTTCTTCTCCCAGAACACTTGGGGAGTGAGTGACCCTGGGCTCAGCTTCCTGTGGCTGCTCCACTCCCCAACTGGGTTTGTCGTTTGCCTTCTCAGGCTTTTAAGACCATCTCTTTGACTCTCACGTGTGTGTGTGAGCATCTCCGGTTCAGACATCCTCTCACCTCCAATTGATGTCTCCAATTTAACCCAAACCTGGAAATGACTGCATCTTCCTCTCGCGGCCTACAGCCAATCCTTTAGAAATCCTGCTAATAACGCTTCTTAAATACATCCAGAATCAGACCACTTCTTAACCGCCTTCACTGCTGCCACTATCCCATGTCCAACATAACACTGACTGATCCTTTGGAAAAGTATAAAGCGTGTTCTCCACTCAGAACTCTGCGTTTCACCCAAGTCTTCGCAGTAGGGAGTCGAAAGGATCTCGTAACACCATTTATCTTCTTGATTGCACCTTTTTCTGCTTTTCTCCCCAGTTTGTTCCAACTGCTTTGACAAAACATTTCCAGCGTGTTCCAGACACAAGCCCTTTGTACTAGCAATTTTCTCTCTCTAGTGTATTCTTCCCCCAGATCACATGCAAAATATTTCCTTGTTTCCAAGTTTCTGCTTGGCTTTTTTTTCCCCCTCTAACTTTGTGTATTAAAATAATCTTTTTTATTTTTATATGAAAGCAGAGACAGAGCTTCCATCTGCTGCCCTCCAAACCCCCTCCCCGACAAAAACAATGGCCACAAGGGCCAGAGCTGAGCCCATCTGAAGCCAGGAGCCTCTATGGGGTCCATGACACAGGTGCACGGTCTCAAGGACCTGTGCCATTCTCTGCTGCCCTCTCAGGACATAAGCAAGGAGCCAGATCAGAAGTGGATCATCCAGGATGCAAACCAATGCCCCAGTGAGATGCAGGTATCGGAGGAGAAGCTTAACCTGTACCACAGCATCAGCGCTCTGCTGAGTTAGTCACTGGGCCCCACCCTAAACACTATTCAAAACAGCAACCTAAGTTCTCCCAACTCCAATTCGTTCTGCCCTCCATTTTTTCCTCATAGCACTTACTTCTTAACAAAATTTGCATATTTATCAATCTTATCATTTATTGCCTATCTCCCTTCACTAAATGTAAGTGCCACACAATAAGGGATTTTTTTGGCTGTTTTGTGAATTGATGATTCTAGAAAAAAAAATGCCTTACACACAGCAAATATTCAACACACTTGTTGAACAAATTGATTAAATAATGTGATTGATAGTTTGTCTTAGTTAAAATCTTAGCATCATGGATGACAACAGATAAGATTGACAGTCAACTGGGAAAAATGTCTCACAACTGACTCAAACATAGTATGAGATCTTTTTTATATTTTAAATATATTTTAAAATTTTGTTTTGATGATGTTTACATAATTGATCAGGGTGGGAAGGTTCGAGGATCACAGGAAAGTAGGCAAGACTATTGTTTATACATTTTTTCTTCTTGTATCTGGGGAAGGGGAGGATACAATGGGAGAGACCATGCCCAGCCTTCCCAGAACCCAACATCATCCTAGGGTTCCCAACGTGGAGCATGTTCTGAGGGTTCTGCTCCAGTGGGTTCAGTAGTTCTGAAATGCTTTGAAAATCGATGCTCCAAGGATAAGGAAACCCTTCCAAGGTCAATTGGCTGACATAGTCCACCTCACAGTCTCCATTTGCCCAGAAGTTTGCTGTCAAGCTTCACTGGGGTAGTTGATCAATTGAGTCTGCCCTCCTTCCTCTGCAAACCAACGGGTGCTGCAGTAGGATGAGATCTTACACAGCAGTATGTGACACTTTATCACCTCCTTGTGAGGAAATAGATGGGGAAAATGGTGTGTAATAAACATGAGAAAACCCTCAAGCTTCCTAATCAGAGAGAAATATAAATTCAAAAGGCAAACTGCTATTTTTCCTTTCTCAACTAGACACAGATAAAATGATCTGTCTTAGTCAATGATGTCAGGTGATGGAAGTATACACAGGTACGCCTTTTTCAAGTCTGAAATATTCCTACTCAATAATTTCATCAAAGCGTAAAAGTCTGAAGGAAACCAAGATAGGAAAGATCTAAATATTTTATGCATACATGGTTGTTTCAACTTCAGAAATACACAAATAACTCAAAATCCCAGTAACAGTGGCATGGCTAAATGATGAATGGGGTATTTGATAGCTATCTCATTTTAAAAGCTGATTTCTGAGAAAGTTTTTAATTAACAAAAACTTGATGAAGCAAAGCTATCAACAGCATGATGTGGTAAACACTTACCTAGCATTTAGCACTAGTATTTGTCATTAGCCTGTCTCAGCTTGAGGCTCTGCAGGGTCAAATCTGACCTTGACCATGCTGAGGCTCTGGGCCTGCTGGTCTCCCCTAGCTCAGGCCGCTGCTCCTGACCTTGCAAGAGTTATTTCTCACACACACACAAATACCCAGCTTCCAAAATGGGCTGCCCCGTACTGTGTCCCAGATTTCTTCCAGGCCCTACCAACTATATCTTATACTTCAGCCGCCTTTCTTTAAAACACGGCTACTCGTCCATTGAGTGTTGGCTTTGTTACAGAGTTGCTGCTTGGTTGTTTTATGGGAAACAAATTCAGGAAGTGAAGTGGTTGGTTGTTTTGGGGGCTCCTTCCTTCCAAGGTATTTCCATTCTGATAGTCTGAGTTTCCTTTATGTTTCTCTCCGGCAACTTCAGCAATTTGTCTAACCCGCCTCCTCCTTCTGAGGTTTAAGTGATAACAAACTCCGTTCCAATATCACAGAATTTTCTTCACGTAGGACTTGTAATGGCCGTCGCTCTCCAGCCCTGACTCCGCAGTTACTTGGCAACTGAGTCTTTCAAACTAACCTAAGGACAAAGATAATTTCTTGGATTGACTTCCTATGCCAGAGCAATTCACCTTAAAAAAAAATTGCCATGCAAACACCAGTATCACGCATGGAGATGGCTGTTTCCCTGCAGCTTATAAAATTCCAAATGTTTTTTCATGCTTAAGCCTGTGGATGAGAGTAGTTGGATTCATGGAAATCCAACTGCGATGGGTGGTCAGACCAGACAGCATTTTTGTGAGATAATTTTAAAAAGAGAAAGAAGGAAATAGTTTTCCTAGAGTTTATCTAATGAATAGAAAACTAATTTCTTAACCACTAAGGTCAGGTAACATAAAACAAAAACCACCTGCATCTTTTCTGTCAGAAGCTTTTAACATGGATTTGATTTTAAATAAGAAATCAAGGGTACCATCTAGCTCCCAAGGGATTTGCTCCTCATGAAGTTTTCCTTATGGGATGCACTTGGTAGCTGACATCCAGTTTCTTTTCCGGGTTGACGTCGGTTGCTCTTCCTGCACTTCCTGTTTCTTTTTGGGCACGGCCATCTGATGTAAAGCTTAACCTTCCTTCAATCCTATTCCTCCCAGGTTAGCATTTAATTTAGAGTTTGGCTTTTGCCAAAGTTTAAATCCAATTCATCAAAAAACAAATTTCATTTTCTACTTGTTTTAACCATGGCTTACCTGATAGCAATTAAAAATTGCGCATTTTATGTTCAGAGCCATTCATAATAAATCTATGTATCCTACACTCTTCTGAAGACTCTGCTATAGCCTGCTATCTGAAAATACTGAAAGACAGTGGGAGGGTGGGGGGCTGGGAGGATTCTGCAGTTCTTTATCTCCTGGCCATGGGCAGAACCATCTTCAGTAGTTTCTGCCTGTGTTGTCCTAGCTTCTGTGTTGCCATTCTGAAGTCTTAGTACATCTTCCTAACACTCATGTCTCTGGATTGCTTCACTATAGCAGAAAATCTACACATTACATTCATTGTGCAAACAATCTTAAATTTGCACCCTAAAAGTATGTTTTATTTTGTAAGAAGATGTTTCCCAGTTTTCTCTTAACCAGCTTTGAAATGTTATAACCCAGATCATAAAAGTTACAAAAAAGAAGCAAATGGTTGCAGGATCCAATTTTAAAGATCATTGGTTGTTTGGCAAAGATCTTCTGTACAGAATGAACCCTGGAGGTAGAGACCAGCTAAGACTGATGGCTGCTACCAGACCTGGCTTCATTGCACAGTCCAAAACGGGCAACCTTGCACGGGGTACATTTTAAGAAATGAAATGCAATGAACACTCAGAAAAAAATTTTCACAAAATAATCCTAGTTTTGATTATACTATTTAGGCTATTTTTTTTTTAAATAGAAAAGCATCTAATGCCTGCTTTGAGTGTGTGGCTCAAAAACTTGTTTCCATTTATGCCATTCAAATTGCCAGCGATGCAAGCTGTCTCAATTATAAAAATTAGTCTAGAGAAATAGCAGGTTTACTCTTAAGAACACATAGCTTTGATAGAAAAGAGCCATAACTGGTACCACTAATTTTCCTCTGACATACTGTTTATGTGCTTGATTTATTATGCAAAGAGTTACTTATATTCCTAACCTTTCAGACATTCCTCAGATGCAAAAAAACCAAAAACAAAAACAAAAAGCCAGACTTGTTTTCTCAATAGCTTAAATACTAGTGTCAATAGTCAGGTGGGAGAATTACCATGACTAAGCGTGCATTTCCAAGGGTACAGCAATGTTTGACAGGCAGACTGAACTCTCCATTGCTTTCTCTTTCTGTTCCAGTGGCACTTTGGGGGGGAGAGGGGAAGGGGAGGTGGATGGGCATTGCTATGTACCAGTGTCTGATTGGGTTAAAATCAACTGCAGGGATGAGAATTACTGCATCTGAAAGCAGCAGGAAGGCACTCATCATGTTAAACCCTACCTTCCTGACAGCAAACACTCAGAAAGCTATATTAAATTAGCTCAGTGACTTGATAAAAACGACATTTTTGAGAGGGACAGAGCAAGACTATTTCATTGCAAGAGAGCAATGTCATCTAACTTTACAAGGAGCACATGAGCGCTCTTCCTTAGGTACAAAGCAATAAGGCCACAAGCCACGAATCAACACGCCGAGTAATTCCGGTGCCCAGGCTCTCAGAACCAGCGTAGAATGAGATTTTGCAGCAGTCCTTGAGCTAAATCAGGAAAAAGAGCCAATTTTTATTTAGCACAGTGCATTGCTTAGAGGAAGTGCTCAATACAGGTTTGCTGACTTCTAATGGTGACAGCAATTTGTGCTTCTCAAAATATTACAGACAATGGATACCCAAAGCTACTCTATTCAGTTCATTCAAGGAATACCTGTTAAGTGTTCTAGGCACTGGAGATCGGGTTGTGAACAAACAAGGCAAACCTACTTTCCTGGAGCTTAGTTTATATTCGAGAAAGGAGAAAAACTTAGACATTAGATAAGTAAAATTATGGTATGGTAAATGGGTGAGAAAGAAAGCAGGAAGGAGGTATGAACCATCGGAGGGAGGCTGTTGTTAAAAAGCAGATAAGTAGGACCCCCGGCATCATAGCCTAATAGCCAAAGTTCTAGCTTTGAACGCGTTGGGATCCCATATGGGTGCTGATTCATATCCCGGCTGCCCTGCTTCCCATCCAGCTCCCTGCTTGTGGCCTGGGAAAGCAGTCGAGGACGGCCCAAAGCCTTGGGATCCTGCACCCATGTGGGAGACCCAGAAGATACTCTGGGCTCCTGGCTTCAGATCAGCACCGGCCGTTGTGCTCACTTGGGGAGTGAATCATCAGATGGAAGATCTTCCTCTCTGTCTCTCCTCCTCTCTGTATATGTTTGACTTTGCAATGAAAAGAAATAAAATCTTTTTTAAAAAAAAAAGCAGATAGGTAACCAGAAAAGAGCTCCTGGGAAGGTGACTTTTGAGTAAAGATTTGAAGAAATGAAAGCTGTTAAGTCTCACAGATGTCTGGACTAGAGTATCCCTGACAGTGGTGACAGCACGTGCAAAATCCCAGAGTCAAGGGCATCAAGGAATCAAAATGGGCCAGTACAGTTTGGTGTAAGGAGATGAGATAAAAATGAACCAGGAGATGACCAGGAGATAACCAGGAGATGACCAGGAGATGACCAAAGGCTTTGTGAACAGAGGAGGGACTTGACTCCGGTTTTCAGAGTCTTACATTGGCTGTAGCAGGAAAAGCAACAGAGTAAGGGAGCAAGAACAGAAGCAGGAAGAGGAGTCACCTACTTAAAAATGCAGACTGCATTGGTGTTTTACCACATTCCCTAAATGATTCTCTGCACAGTAAAATTTAAGGACCGTGACTTCAAATGATCGAAGCAAGTAAGATGAAATTTGATCTTATGCTCGGGTTCTTTGAAGTTCACTAAGGCACAGTTTGCCTACGGAGAAACCTGTGCAAGTCGTTGCAGCTGAATTCAGCCAATGATCTGCGGATTCAGCCGAGCAATGTGCAAACACTGCTTCAGGAGGAAAACTCCCCAAGGGATTTGACCCCTGACTCTGTGACAGAGGACATTTTCAGGAGAGGTGAGCTCCGTAGGGAAGGAAACTTGATGGATGTGCAAATGCATGGTGGTGGTATAGCTGGTTATGCACTGTGAGCATGGTAAGTTTCAGAATTCAACTAAAATATATCATTGGGCAAGAATGCTCCATGGCACCTTAAATAAAGATATATATGTGTGGATGTGTGTGTGTGTGTGTGTGTTACATATATATACGTATATGTAATTTAAAGTCATAGTTACAGAGGGAGAGAAAAGAGAAAGAGATCTTCCATTCATTGGCCAAGTTCCAGAATGCCAGCTGCATTAGCACCAGGCTGAAACCAGGAGTCTGGAACTCCACCTGGGTCCCTCATGTGGGTGGTAGAAATCCAAGCACATGCGCATCTTCTTCTGCTTTTTCATGTGCATTAGTGGGGGGCTAGGTTAGAGGCAGAGCAGCTGGGACTCAATGAGCATGTGGGATTCCGGCAATCATGCAGGCTGCAGCTTAGCTCCATGTGCAACAGCACCGTCCCCTAAAAATTGTTAATTTATTTGGGAGGGTGTGAGAGAGTGAGAGCAAGTGAGAGAGAGAGAGGTTAGTATGCATCCTCACCTAGTGATTCATTCCCCATCTGCCAGAAACATCTGCCTGGGTCACGGAGATGGAGCCAGGTTGCCCAGTGAATGGCAGGGCAAGTTATTGCCAATGGCTCTCAGGATCTGCTGTGATGGGAAGCTGCACTCAGGGGTCAGAGCTGAGTGTGCAAGCCGAGCGCTCCAGCGCTGGAGCTGGGCATCATAACTGGTGTCTTTTTAAATAGAAGGGCCCGGCAGCGTGGCCTAGCAGTTGAAGTCCTCGCCTTGAACACCCCGGGATCCCATATGGGCACCGGTTCTAATCCCGGCAACTCCACTTCCCATCCAGCTCCCTGCTTATGGCCTGGGAAAACAGTCGATGACAGCCCAAAGCTTTGGGACCCTGCACCCGCGTGGGAGACCCGGAAGAAGTTCCTGGATCCTGGCTTCGGATCGGCATAGCATCAGCTGTTGCACTCACTTGGGGAGTGAATCATCGGACGGAAGATCTTCCTCTCTTTCTCTCCTCTTCTTTGTATATCTGACTTTCCAATAAATAAATAAATCTTTAAATAGAAGAAGATCAATAATTATGTGTCATTCCTAATGTGTGTAGATATACTTATATATGCGTATATACATTTATATATTATATACATAAATTCTACACTCTATAAAATTTGATATTTCCATTCTATATATAAACATATCCCTAGGTATCTTACATGCACATACATACCAATACAGAATGTTCACAGACATGAACTAAATGTTTATTTTGCTGCAAAATTTTTTGAAATACATGCATAGTATCTTCATAGCATACATTTTCCGTAAACTTTTACAAGACCCCTGGGATGCATGAAGTTTGAATTTTTTTTGCACCAAAATAAATTTATGTTTTAATTTCATTTTCACAAACTTTCGGAAATGCTTTAATCTTCTATAATGTGTATTCTAAACATATGTCAAAATCTAAAAAATCATATTCACATTCACAATTCTGATTAAATTTTATAATTATGACAACTAACTCTTTATAGTTGAAATAATTAGACCCAGTTCCATAGACCACACATGACAAATACTTTCTAGTTTATAATGATATTAATTATTGCACTGCTCTGTTTTAATTTTGTAAACTATTCAACAGCAGAGAACAAAGACTCTTCTATTTTTTATTTGTTTTATATGCCTATGAATTATTTTATTTGCTTCCTGCAAATTCTGCACCCAGCAGACACAAAGGCAAACTCTTAACTGGCCACTGACTAAGCAACCTGAAGACGCGCCACACTGAGAATCAATTATCAGGTACTTTGTTCCTCTACTTGACTTTTTTGCCTCTCTCTAAAAATAAAATTTCAAAATTTGAAGAGGCTAAGCTTTGATAACTGCAACGTACAAATATTCGAGGGAACTTAATGGACCAGCTTTTACAGGCTGCCATTTCTCCTGCTTGCACACAGTTTCCCTAAGGTATTTTATCATCCAAGTTTGACTCAATGTGTACATTTACAAAGGCATGTAATGAACAGAATTTTCGGGAAAGTGTTTCTTGTTAGAAGCATGTTCTGCTGCTCAGGTACTGGTTCTTCTTTTGGGCAGAGTTCAGCTAATAGCTTACCAGGAAAAAAAAAAAAAAAGAATATGGATTACCTTCTCGAGAGGAAAGCGCCTCCAGGTGTTGAAGTTTAAGGCCAGTGTCTAACCTCCGAGGCTTCGTATACAGAAATAAATAGCAAAGGACGCAGACGCTGATGACAAAGGCCAGTAAAACGAGGGCGGCAATTCCCAGTCCAATCAGAGCGCCGACACTGAGGATGGGGGAGAAACCGGACGTCAGGTAAACCAGAACTGCTTTAAACGAGGTTCGTTCTTGTTCTCAGTCATTGATAAACAAATTCTGTCTTAGCCTAAACCATCAATGATTGAAATATACACGTCCCCTTTTCCTTTTTTTTTTTTCCATTTAAACATTTTATCGACAAAGTGTGCATGCCAACAAATGTGCACAAGTGTTTAGATAAATGAAATTTTTCATCTGGTCACACTCATAGCCAACACAAAAATGAAAATACAACACGCTGTTAATACTCTACGAGTCTTCACTCTTGCTCCTTCTCTATATTTCAAGTGTACTTTGCTATTTAGACAGTATGATTCACTAACACAATGTAAGTACAAAATGATATGCCATCCACATGGTTTTAATACTCTTCCTATACATTAGGTTGTCCGCATGCGTCGCACTTCTGCCATCATAGTGATCTCCAGTTGCATCCATTTTGTCCCACGTATCAGGATCTGATTCTTTTCTATGACTCAGTATTCCATCGTGCATTTATAAACATTCATCAGTGGACAGACAGTAGATCGATTTCATGTCTTTGCTATTGTGGATTGAGCTGCTATAAACATGGGAGTGCATGTGTCTCTGTCATATACTGATTTTATTTCTTTGGCTATAGTCCCGGGGTGGTACAGCTAGGTCATGTGATAGATTTTTCCTTAGTTTCCTGAGAAATCTCCATGCTTTTTTCCATAATGGTTGTACCAGTTTGCATTCGTTTGCCTCCACAAGCTCCCCAGCATGAATTGTTTGTAAGTTTTGCACACTAGCCATTCTGACTGGAGTGAAGTGGGACCTCATTGTGGTTTCCATTTGTTCTTCCAGGATGGCTACTGTTGCTGAGTATGGTTTCATGTCTCTGGTGGCCATGTGTATTTCATGCTTGAAAAAATGTTTGTTTTTATCCGTGCCCATTTCTTAACTTGATCCCTGGTTTTATTAAGTGTCTTGAACTCCTTATATAGTCTAAATATGAATCCTTTATCACATTTATACTTTGCAAATATTTCCTGTCATTCTGTTGCCTCTTCATTTTGTTAATTGTTTCATTCACTGTGTAGAAGCTTCTTAGCTTGCTGTAAAACTCATGTATCTAATCTTGCTTTTAATATCTGTGTTTCTGGGGTCTTACTCAGCAAGTCTTGACCCAGGCCAGTTTCTATTTGTACCATATTTTCTCTGGAGGATCTCAAAGTGCTTTGGAATGTACCCGTTCATAATAATAGGGATAAGTATAAATTCATGTTACCCGTGGAAGGTCAGCTGAGCATGAGTGTCTAGGGATACTTCAAAAGAATCTCAAACCAATACATCCATATTATTACTATCTCTTGCAAGGAAATACTACAGTCACCAATCAAGAGTAAAGAAGAAATATTTGCTTGTGCAAAGGCAATGAAGCAAATGTTGAACTTTTTCTTTAGTAATATAGAAGAAAGATAGCATTAAAACTTCAGCTTTCACTTTACTTGAAAGGTAGAGAGAATGAGAGACAGAGAGAGGCTTGCTGTCCACAGGTTGGCTCTCCAGATGCCCACAAATGCCAGGGAGAGCCCAGGTCGAAGCCAGATGCCCGCAACCCCATCCAGATCTCCCTGTTGAGTGACGGAGATCCGTGCTGTCCACCCAGGAAATGCATTAGCAGGATGCTAGATGGAAAGTGGAGCTGAGACTCAAATGCAGGCAGCTAGTTCCAGTGCAGGATATGGGCATCCCACATGGCATTTCAGCCACTGATTTCACTGCTCACAAGACACTGTTCACTGATACTCTAAGCCACAACAATGCATTACAAGAGAAAATGGACCTCCCACAGTAGCCTAGTGGCTAAAGTCCTTGCCTTGCACATGCCAGGATCCCATATGGGCACTGATTCATATCCCAGCAACCCCACTTCCCATCCAGCTCCCTGCTTGTGGCCTGGGAAAGCAGCCAAGGGACCCTGCACCCGGTGGGAGAGCTGGAAGAGGCTCCTGGCTCCTAGTTTCCACTTGGGGAGTGCATCAATGGACAGATCTTTCTCTCTGTCTCTCCTCCTCTCTATATATCTGCCTTTCCAATAAAAATAATTCTTAAAAAAAAGAGAGAAGATTTGAGATAGATACAGCAACAAGATTTATGAAACTGTGTATGCAATTTGTGTTCAGTCTGAGTTTTTGCTTTGTAGAAAAGCATTACATTAATGTCTTGTAGCATTAAAAAAAAAAAAAGACCTTGCTTTCTCCAAAAATAAGATGCAACATATGTGGTTGGCTTGGGATTTATAATTCTTTCTGATGCAATTACCTCTAAGGCTAATTACTGGAGAAGGAATATAGATTAAATAGGCATATGCACTTAATGCTATTAAGTGGAAAAAGGCCCTTGAGGGGAAAAAAACAAACCTTAAAAAAATGATATGCAAACATGCACATTTCTCCAACCGTGTGTGTTTGTGTGTGTGTGTGTGTCTGTATCCATAATCAAATTTTAAGCTGCTCAGTAGCAGATATTTCTCTTGATTGTCTTGTAATGTCTTATATACTTATTAAAGTGCTTAAATGCTTAGTTGCAGAAAATGTGAATAAATGTAAGTAAACACACACTACTATGGAATGATCCACATGTAGTCCTATGGAACACACGTCATTGGAAAGCAATCAGTCTTTTCTTCATCTTATTTCTAGTTTACACACTGGCTTCCTGCTCTTTCCTAGGAACCAGAGGCCTGGCAAGTTTGACCTGTACCAAGAGGGAGGAAGGGAGAATTTGGCCAGGGGTGCTCAGAGTATCCCTGCTTTAGGAAGAAGGAAGACAGCAATGAGAGTGAAGGGCTGAGCTCACCCCATTTATCCTTGATTTGAGCAGCTAAAGCACCCCAGGAGTGAGAGATCACTTCCTGTGCAATACACAGTAAGTTGGGCCACTAGACATGCATGTGCTCGGGCTGTTGATGTCAACCAACCCTGCACATTTTTTATGGTATAAATTTTATTTTTGATATTTTTACATATCTGATTAGGGTGGGAAGGGTCAAGGGCTTTAAGATAGTGGGTGAGACCAATTTTTTTTGACATTCTCTGTTTTCCTTCCTATATCTGGGGGGAGGGGAGAGATAAGGGGAGAAGCCACACACAGCTTCCCAACTATCCCAGGGCCCCCTATGTAGGGCGTCTTCCAAAGGTTCTGCTCAAGTGGTTTTAATATTTCAACAGTTCTGTATTATTGCCAATCTTGCCACTGCAATCATGATGGAATCTCTCCAGACTCAACCAGCTGACATAGTCTACCTTACAGTCTCTGTTTGCCCACATATTCACTGCCAACTCTTTGCTGGAGTAGTTGATTAATTAGTTCTGCCCTCTGTCTTCTTTTATGGTACCAGGTGTCCCCTGCAGGCTCCAGTGCACTGCCATATCCTCCATGTGCATCTGGCTATGCTCTCCACTGCTCCATCTAAGCCATTGAGGAGGCCCAGCTCTGACACATGCATTCCATGGTCAGAGTATGGAACTTGCAAGTTTCCTCATGGTTGGAGTTCTGAGTCCAGCAGTTCAGGTGGGGGGTATTCCAAAAGAATCTTCATCTGAGGTTATCCCAGATCTGATTCTTGTGCGTGCATGCCAGTACAGGGTCCAGCACAGTCTGTCACCCCAATCAGCTTATGCACACACTGGTGATTGCAATTGCTGGGTTAGTTGTCTTCTACACAAACTAACAGGCCACTGCACTCACCAGTGGGACCCACAATGCAGCCAGGGCATCCTGTTAGCTCCCCAACCAGGCCTGATCCCAGTCACTGATCTCACGTGTGCCAGTGGTTGCTCTGACCCAGCTGGGCATAGCTCCTCCCCTGTCTTGGCCTTTGCCTTCAGATGCTGCAGCGTGCCTGACCCAGCCAACCCCCAGTCCCACCTCCCACTGGCAGGTGCTGGAACCTGGCCCTGCTCAGTCTGCTCTCATCTCGAACTCATGCAAACCAGTAGGTGTGATGCCCTAGCCTGGTATGACCTGCACTCCTGCCTGGTTTCTGTACTTGCCAGTGGGCTATGGTTTGCTCGGCCCTGCCTGGTCTGTGCCCTTCCAAAAACAACTCACACACTTGCCAACAGATGGAGCTACCCTGCCCAGCCTGCCCAGCACCCAGGCTTGGACTATGTGCTCATCAGCAGGAGTTATGACCTGTGTTCCTCAGGATTCATTCCTTACCTGTATGTACAGCGGCCTTATCAATGGATGTCCCTACGCAGTAATTCCATACCTCTGATATCCAAGAGCTTGCCACCAGGCAGCCACCAGGCAAAGTCTGGCTCCATTGTCATTCTGGCTGCCCACAAGCTCAGGACCCGCCCCGCCCCAGCAGCAGTGGATGGGGAGCTAGTATCCCCAGTAGGAAGCCTGGGCTGGCAGGGTGCCTCCAGCCACCACTGCGTGGCTGGAGCACCCAGACACCTACACCGCAGCTCACTTAGCTGGACTCCACCCCCCAACATGGTGGCGGTGGGTGGAGCCATGGTCCTGGGCATGCCCAGAGCTGTCCGAGATCTGTCCCCAGCACGGTCGCTGTGGACTGAGTAAATTCTCAGATCTCGGGCTTGGACAAGCCCAGGACTCCCCCCCTGCCAAGCAGCAGTAGATGGGAGCTAGGATCCCCAGCAGGAAGCCTGGGCCAGCATGGGTACAACCAGCCACAGCCACATGACTGGGGGACCCAGATACCCACTCCGCTGCTCAGACCTACCTGGACTCCAGCAACTGGATGACTTTATGACTAGAATCTGCGTAGTGTTATGTGTGAAGGATTTTGCAAAAAGGCATATTGTGAACAAACTGTGTTTCAATATTTTGGAGATTAAAATAAACTTAACTTTGTGTTTCATCATGCTACACATTTTGAGAAGTGCTCTCATACTTAAACGTGAGGTTTTCCCTCATTTAATACACTGTCTTCTGAGGGAAAAGAGTCCTTATGTCTGCATGCAAGTACCAGGGCTGGGAGCAGGCCATATTGGGCTATAGCACCCACTAGCACACAGGAGCACTAGGTCTAGGGAATGGCCTAGTAGGAGTATTGAGCCATGGTACCCACTGATGCACATGAGAGCTGGGCTTGAGGTTGGTTCTGGTGGGAGTTCTGGAGTCCCCACCCCAATCAGACTAACACACCTACAGACACATCGATAGGGCAGGCGGAGGTCCACATCAAGCAGCAGCAGCATCTGCCAAAGAGCATGAGAACCGGGACTGGGACAAGCTGGGTAGGCTCACTGATCAGGAGTGGGAGTCTGCATCTCATGACCACCTGGATTTTTTCCCTCTCCACACCCCAGGTGACTACACAGCTCTCTCTCATCCCTCCTCCCCTCCTTGACCCACTGCATCCCTATCAGAGGCCCACACTGGTCTCCATTCTCCATCCTCTCACCTCTGTATGGATCATTTAAAAAGTAATGGTTAGGATCCTGCACGATAGCGTAATGGTTAAGGTCCTCGCCTTGAATACGCCAGGATCCCATATGGGCACCGGTTCTAATCCCGGCAGCTCTACTTCCCATCCAGCTCCCTGCTTGTGGCCTGGGAAAGCAGTTGAGGACAGCCCAAAGCCTTGGGACCCTGCACCCATGTGGGAGACTTGGAAAGAAGTTCCTGGCTCCTGGCTTTGGATCAGCGCAGCATCGGCTGTTGCGGCCACTTGGGGAATGAATCATTGGACAGAAGATCTTCGTCTCTGTCTCTCCTCCTCTCTGTACATCTGCCTTTTCAATTAAAAAAAATCTTTTTTAAAAAAGTAACGATTAAAATAGATTAATTTTTAAAAGTCCTTACATCTAGCAAGGATTCATTTATACTTGTTTGCACCAAAGCTGACTTTTATGGATCACAACAGAGAATCATTGCACTATACATGAACCCTTGGAAATCAAATCCACTTGATATTATTGGATGCCCAGACAGACAGGAGGCTAGCCATCTGGAATGATTCCTGAGATATGAGCCTTGATTATTTTAAAAATCAGTATTAAAAAAATTTATTCAACTTAAAATTCCTAATTCAGTTGAACATATGAAAAATCTTAATGATGAGTGCATATTCTTAAAATAAAAAACACTATGTATGACTTTGAAAATCTTTTGCACCAGAATAAACTTACCTTTCAATTCCCTTCTTCTGTAAACTTTTGGATACATCCTTACACACATTGCAAGATTTCAGTGTGCAAATTCAGAAACTAGATCATGCAATGTCAAGGAAAAACACACGAGTTCTGTTTTCTCATAAAAAGCATGTTCTTTATAATCTTGACAATCTGTTTCAATGATACATGGAAACATTGCATGTAAAAAAGAGAGCTCCAGAAGTTTCCTAAAATCCTTAAATCAACAAATGTTTATCGGAATTCCTTTCAAATGGACACTGGTCTTCCTAGTTTCTTAAGACAGTAATGCAAGGAAATCTTCAGAGCTTAGAAATGCATAGGAAGAGGAAAGATGGGTTGGGCCAGAATAGAAAAAGGGGAATTATGCACCACGTGGCAGGTGCTTTTCATCAAGGGAAGCTGCTATCGCACTAACACAGCCGACCCGTTGGTGCCTGCTGGCTCTGCATCTCTCCAGCAGCTGTTGATTCTCAATGTAAAGCCTAGTGACTTCGGAATGTTTTTCACAGTTGGACTCTTTTAAATTAGAAATGGAAAGCGGAGAATAGGAGGCAAATGAAACTCTAATAAATGTACTCCCCCCCAGCGCCCCCAGTGCTCGGGAACCCAACAGGGTCTAAGGGCTAACACTGCCACCTGGCACTGGCAATTCCCTTACTTTTCATATTTCCCAGGACTGCGCTGCGCCATCCCTTCCGTCAGTGCTGAAAGAAGCCCCAAGCACACCCTGCACTCCTTCGTACCTAGGAAGGTTTTATGTCCTCTGCTGCTTGTCACTTTGGCATCATTCTGGAACTACTGAGGAACTATGCTGAAAATGCCAGGTACATTTTTCAGTTGAGTTTGACTTAGGAATTTCTTATCTCTGGCTGAGATGTTTCTGCCATCATTAATACTTCCAAAGGTTCCACACACAGAGAGATAATCATGGTTTTTTTTTTCTATCAAAAGCGAAATATTCTTCTCCAAATACTCTATTAAGGATATGGTGGCATTTTCTTCCGACATCTGCCCCAGTTCGGCACAACAGAATTGAACTTAGTGGGAGAGAAACACTCCTTTTGGGCCTTTTTTTTTTTTTAAAGAAGGTTGCAGTACATTCCTTTTGCTTTTATTGCTGAAGGAATAATATGCCTTCATTTGCATGTGTTCCAAGTGATAGAGAAATGGCTGATAGAAGTGGGACTTTATCTCCTACCAACAGAATTCCTCTCTCTCGTCCAGACCTTAAGCTAATTATGTTGCAAGAAACTACCACTTCGGGGTTGTAGTTCTTTCTCAGTCTTGGACCCCATTTCTTCCCTATGTAAAGTTGTTAGTATCAAGTTTAAAATTGGCAGTCCTTTTGAGTAAGTAAAATTCCAATAATAAGAAACAGAAAGCCAATTCTTTTTCCAGTTGTGGACAAACGGCTTGGGTGTGAACAGGGGTGAGGGGTGGGGGGTTCTAGAGTGTGCGACCACGACGACTAACAAAGCTCTGTTTGTCTGGGGTCTCGGTCAGATCATGTGAGGAATGGCAAGTATAACATGCGCGCGACACACACACAGACACACACACGCACACACGCACTCAGGCGCGCACAGAGCCCCTCATACTCCCTTTAGGCTGTTTTGAAGAACAAAGCTAATTCCTTGATATCCATACACACACACAAAAAAGTGTTACATTGCTCTGATCTTTGAAAACATCTTAAAGCAGGTCCCAAAAGAGCCTCTTTGATATTCAATTCAACTGTAGCATATGAGCAAATAAAACCCAAGGAGACATTAAAGCCTGCGCCTTAACTTACCTGTTTGTCCCCTGTCTGCCAGCAGAGCCAACTGCCGGGAAGCGAAATGAGAGAGCGAGCGGGTCCCACCAGGCGTGCGGGGGACCGAGCAGAGCCAGCCCTGGCGGCCCCCGGAGCGCCCTGGACGCGGAGCCCGCGCTGCTCCAGCGCCCGTCGTGCCGGGGCTCCCGGCTCCCGGGAGGAGTTTCCAATCAGGCCCTCACCCACCCTGGGAGGATGCGCGCTCTGCACCAGGGACCAGACCAGGGAGGGTCTCGGGGACTCGGGACCTGGACCCAGCCGTCAGCCGCCGCACAGGCTGGCTGCCCGCCCCGCCTGGCCCGCCCTGCCCACCTGAGGCTCCACATGTAGCTGTGCTTGTAGGGGAAGTAGCTGCCCGGCTCGCTGCAGCAGTACTTGAGGTCGGCGAAGCCACAGCAGTAGCGGAGCGCGGCCCCCTCGCCTCGCCGGGGACACTGGAAAGGCTCCACGAAGCTGTGATTGAGGCTGTAGTAGCCGGAGCACAGGCGACCGGCCTCGCTCATCGTGCGTGCAGGCTGGCAGGGGCACGCCAGGCCCCCCGATCTGCACTCGCTCCGTGCCTGCCCGAGCACCCCCAGCGCCTGCTGCGATCCGGGTCTGGTTGCTGAGCGCCCAGGCTCCTTGGGCCGGCCGTGCCTTCCCCTCTCCGGGGCACCCGGCGCGGTGCGCTCGCCTCTGCCTCGTGCTACGGAAAGGTCCTTTTATTCAACGCTCTCCGCCCTCCTCCACCTCCCCTCCGGCAGCCCGCGCAGGCTTTCTGCGGGCACTGTTGACTCCCCGCCACTTTCCCTCACTTTGTCAACAGCCCGGAAGCCTCGGATGTGCCCTCTCCACGCCAGAGACAGCCCGAGGCAGAGCGGAGGTGTAGGTCAGGTGTGCGATTCACTGTATAGGCCCGTCTCCCCCATCCCTCAGCGCAGGCGGGTCCCGGGTTGTTAACAAAAGGCTGTTAAGAACCTTCAGGTACCCCTTGATCCCAGTAGTGGGAAAGTGGGCAGTGAGACCGCTAGATTAGAGTTTTCCTCCTTTCAGAAGTACGCGCGCGCGCGAAACACTAAGATCAGCCCATTTTAAAATAAAAGGAAAGAAACAAAACTTCTCCAAACAGTAGCGGCTGGTGTTTTTGGTTGCAGGCTGCCTTGGTTGCAGGCAAAGAACCCAGAGAGTAAAGAAAAGGCAGAAAATGAAAGAAAAAAAAAAACTTTTCTAGAAAGGGAGGCACAAAGAAAAGGCGCAGAGTCCAAAGAAAGAGTGCTCTAGGCAGTTTAGCAGGCCTGTGTAAGCTTCTTGCCCCGTTTCTCACGTTCTGGTTTGATTCATTCACCAATTCTCTTTCCGATGGCCACAGTCAAGGCTTGTAGTGATGAGACAATATCCCTCAGTGCGTAAACAAAACAATAACCGCTTTAGAAGGGAGAGGGGCGGGCCCGGCGCGGTGGCCTAGCGGCTGAAGTTCTTGCCTTGAACCCGCTGGGATCCCATAAGGGCACTGGGTTCTAATTCCAGCAGCCCCCGCTTCTTTGTCTCTCCTCCTCTTTGTGTATCTGACTTTGCAATAAGAATAAGATACTATAACCACCTTCTCAGAATACCTACGAATATCCCGTGTCCTTCCCTTGATTGTGGGCTTGACCGGATGCCGCAGGTCTTGAGTTTTACGCTGTGTGCTGGGCGGTGCCCTTGAATTTGCCTCTGGACGCAGCAAGGTCACCGGGAAGCAGTTCGGATTGCGTCGGGTTCCTGTTGAGCTCTGTTGGGCAGGACCTGAGCAAGTCCATTTCCCCCACTTGAAGGCCAGTGGCCTTTGGAGTGTTCTGGCAGTGCCTTGTGAAGGGCAAAGCTTACTATTCTCACCCGTGACTTACAGAGGACCCCAAGCCTTATGAGACACAGCTTCTGGAACTGTTCCCACTCTTTCTTTGAGATGGTTCCTTTCCTGGCCTTGAGTAATTGCCTGCTAGCACGCACTGATCAATTCTTTGCTGAGGACCGATGAGCTCCCAAACACTCGCTCGCTCTCCCGCCTTCTGCCCTCCTCGTGCCCTCCCCCCTCCTCCTCCAGCGCTCCCTCTGTAATGTCCTGTGGGGTTTCCTCCAGCCCCACCCTGGCTGTCAGGTCTGCCTTGTCACCTCGGACTGATTACTCAACTGCACATGCGCACTCCCTGTCTTGCGGCTGGAAACCCTCCAGACACAGAACTGAGGTTACTACAGGGCTTACTTACACGTTTCCCCTTGTTCAGCGAGACACACTCTTGGGTTCATGGACTTTTCTGTTTCGGTGTTTTAAAAAGTAGGATAAATCATGCCATAGGCTTGACTTGATGACTAGATCGGATCCAAGTGAGGTCAGCCAGGACTGCTGGAATTAGAATGCTAAGACGTGGCCGGGAAGCTGTGAGAAGCTACAGTGCAAGACAGAGCAACGCGTAGCCCAGCGGAGCAGAGAGGAAGGGTGAATGGGATGTTGAGGCTTATGGTTCTTGCCGAGTTCCATCCTGAGGCCCATGATGTTCCTATCTGTTTTGTGAGACACCCATGACTCCTTCGAGATTCCTGTTCTGGCTTACGTCACTCCAATTGGAAGGTTCCGCTGGCTCAGATGGAACATCTTCAGGCAAAGGTGGGGGTAGAGACAGTTGCAAGGGAAGAGGCGAAGCTCTTTAATCAATGGGGAAAGTGATCTTAGAAGAGTGAAAGTGAGCAGCACACACAGTTTTCCTACCCCTCTCCCTTGTCGTACAGAAGAAAAGGAAACTTGGAGCTAAGAAGGTCAGGAAATTCTTTGATGTAGTACTGGTTGCCTACAGAAAATGTGAAGTGGTCTCCTGTGCAACGTGAGGCAGCGAGGTACAAGTTGGTGCTCGGTGAAAATAGAAATGATTGAGGGGGAATTCCATGAGGTCAGGCCTGGGAAGCAGGCCGGGTGACGCAGAGAGAACAGGTGCATCCGTGCGGCCTCAGCCCTAGTTAAGAACCACTCTGACAATGAATGTGCATGTTCCAGAACTGGGGATTCCTAGGGACGTGAGCAGTAGGGTTTGTCAGGATGAGCCTTGGGGACAGGGGTGGCTATTAAGGCCATTCCAGCAATAGCTTGCTATTCTCCAACTCTCTCATACACAAAATCACACAGAGAGGCAGGAATACCCACAGCCCCTGCCAAGCTTGGAGGACCTGGAGGCACTGAAGCCAAAACCAGCAAGAGACTTCTTGGGCTTCTAGCTCCCTGTCGCCAGATAGGAGGAGTGCTCCTGGGGAGTGCCTGGGGCTGGTCCGATACCAAAAGACAGCTTCAATTGCATATATATATATTTTTTTCTTTCCTCACCAAAGTTAATATTCCTCCTTAGCGAGTATTTTGGAAATAGAGATTTTCAGTTGTCATGATAAATAAAGATCTTGAGGGCCTGGTGCAGTAGCTTAGTTGCTTAAGTCCTGACCTTGGCACATACCAGGATTGGGGGTACTGCTCCATTTCCCATCCAGCTGCCTGTCTGTGGCCTGGGAAAGCAATTGAGGACGGTCCAAAGCCTTGGGACATTGCACCTGCGTGGAGACCCAGAAGAAGTTCCTGACTCCTGGCTAGGGATTGGCTCAACTCTGGTTGCTATGGCCACTTGGGATCTCTCCAATGGATGGTAGATCTTCTGCTCTCTCTCTCCTCCTCCTTTCTGTATATCTGCCTTTCCAATAAAAAGAATACATCAATTTTTTAAAAAAGAAATAAAGGTGTTGAGCCATGTGGGCCAGGGATGCTAGACATGCCAACACCCCGAGATGTGCACAACAAATCGAAGAACTGTTAGAGACTTTATAATGATCTTGGCTTAGAAACTATCCCTGTGTCGCAAATGAACACAGCATTGTTGGTGAATTTTCCAGGAATGAAGCTACCATGTAAATTGAAGGAAGATTGTTCTTAAATTTTTTTGGGAGCTTGTCCAAGAGTTGTTCACTCTTTCAGAAAATCATGGGCCGTTGTGAGGCTCCTGAAGGTTTGTGTCTCCGTTGCTAATCCCACACAGAGTGTCAGCCTGCATTCCCACTGTCAGAGCACGAGGTATGAGTGGTGCGGGCGCCAGCCTGATCGCCTTTAGGATAATTGTATTTAAACACTGATTCTTGGGAACACATGTTTTATTATGAGTTAACATCACACTTACTTCTCTGTAATAAAGGGGTTGTATGTATTAGTGCGTTCTCTGGGGCCACTGCAGTAGAGGAACGCAGCTGGTTTGAACTGAGATCTGTCTCAGCTTCAGAGACTGCAAATCTGAGATTAAGATGCAGGCAGGGTTGGAAACTCCTTGAGGCCGTGAAGGAGGGGTCTGTGCCAGGTCTGGCTCCTTGGCCTGTACCTGATTTATTTTATCTGGGATCTCTGTTTTGTCTTCTTGCTGAACTTTTTGTCCGAATCTCCTCTTCTGAAGATGTCAGTTCTGTTGGATCGGGGTCCACTGCAATGAGCTTTTCTGGCTCATTCCTCCCTAAAGCCCTGTCCTCAAATACCATTCAGAGGTGCCAGGGGCACAGGCTGAACGTGCAAGTTTGGGAGCTGCAAGACATGGTGATTGGCAAAGTAGATCTATACTATAGTAAGTGTGATTTTTTTGTTTGTTTGTTTCAAGATAGCAAAGAAAGAACTATCAACATAGAAATGTTTCTTATAAAATGGAGATATAGAGCACATTGAGAGCAGCTTGGATCATGTCCTGGGTGACTAGGAATTGGTAAGCTTCACAAGCAAGCACTGTCCCTTTCTACGAATTTTTATTCTAACAGGGTTTGTCCAAAATTGGCATGAGAGGTCAGGCAGGCAGAGAGAAAAGTGGGAAGAAATATCTTTCTATTGGGTAAAGGAAGATGAGGGTTTGAAGGTTTGTGGGGGTGGTGGCACCTCTGCCCTCTGAAACACTTTGGGGATCAATGCCTTAGCATGTCTCTCTACAGCATTCTCGCCTCTTCTTTTTGACCATGTCAGTAGGCAGAATTTTCTGAATCGACAAGTTCTGGTTTTTTTGTACTTAACAATTCCTTCTTCCGTGTTCTCTCTCTCCTCTCATATTTTTTTTTACTACAAACACCAAGGAGAAACCAGGAAGCACTTGTAACTCATTGCTTCAAAATCTCCTAGGTTGTTTAGAAACAGGAGGATGCTTCAAAAATTCACAAAGTCCTGGGTGTTTTTCACAGTGGGAAAGATGGCATTTAGGATGCCCTTACCCCAAATCAGAGTCCTTGGTGTTAAGCCGTGGCTCTGCTTCTGGTCCAGCCCTCTCCTAAAGCACAGCCCAGATGGTGGAGAATGGTGGCTGCAAAGCCTGAGCCCGTACTGCCAACGTGGGAGATTTGGTGTGTTCAAGGCTCCAGCTTGATTTGGCCCAGCCCCAGTCTTTGGGCAGTGAAGTTGCTGATGGCAGACATTTTTCATTTTGTCTGTCGCTGACAAATGAACTACTTAAAAAAAACAATCCTTAGGAAATGGAATTTAAAAATAAAT